ATAAAGAAAAGATGGATAAATACATCTACAAGAAACCAACAAATAGTTCATATGTAACAACACGCCAACAATGGAAAGAACAGCTACAAGAAGAATATGAAGACAAACTCTTAGATGAATGTTCTAATGTGAAATTAACACCAGCTAAGAAAGATAACACCACAATGAATCTCCACGATGACAATAGTGAAGATGATACACAAGATGCAGTGCAAACTGAACACAATGACTCTGATGATGTTAAAGCAGCACAAACTCAACACAGTGATAATGAAACTGATATTGATGATGCTGATACAAGTGAATTTGAAGTTGATGAACTACCTTTCAAATTTGATGATACAATGTTTTTAAGAAGAAAGGCTGACAAGATAAAGAAGACCAGAAGACAAAGAAGAAGCGAAAGAATGAAGCTTCAATCCAAAGAAAAAGAACAAGAACTTGGGACAATAGATGTAGACTGTCTGAAAGAAATGCAGAATACAGATCCCACTTTGAAGGATGTTAGGAAGAAAATACTGGACTCTACAGATACTAACAGGGACATGCCATATTTCATAAGGAAAGATGGTTTGATATATAGAATATCAAAGACTCCCTTAGATGAACAACTGGAACAGATAGTCATACCGAAGGGTTGCAGGAAACAGATCCTAGATGTGGCACATAGTATTCCATTGGCTGGACATTTAGGAATGCAGAAGACAACCAACAGAATTACAAGAAGATTCTTCTGGCCGGGAATTCATAAAGACATTACTAATTATTGCAAGTCATGCGATAAATGTCAACTCATTGCCAAGAAGAAAACCATGGACAGAGCTCCACTTATTCCATTGCCTGTAATAACAGAGCCATTCAAGAAAATTGCCATGGATGTGATAGGCCCACTGGTACGCTCTATCAAAGGAAACAAATACATTTTATGTATTGGAGACTACGGAACAAGATATCCGGAAGCTGTACCGATGAGAAACACAGATGCTAAAAGAATCGCTACAGAGCTGATGACTTTGTTCTCCAGAGTTGGAATTGCTGAAGTAATACTTACAGACCAAGGTACAAACTTCATGTCAAAGACCTTGAAGGAAGTCTACAGGTTACTAGGCATAACTGGAGTTACAAGTACACCATACCATCAGCAGACTGACGGCCAAGTGGAAAAGTTTAATGGCACCCTGATTAACATGTTACGCAAGTTTGTAGCAGATGAGCCAAAACTTTGGGATGTGTATCTTCCTTATGTATTATTTGCATACCGGGAAGTACCCAACAGTTCAACGGGATTCTCTCCATTCGAACTCCTTTATGGACGAGATGTTAGAGGACCATTGGACATATTGAAGGAAAACTGGGTTGCAAAAGAAGATACTCCACCAACAGTTGTTGAATATGTAGTTAAAATGAGAGAGAAGCTGGACTCTTTGCATAAATTAGCAGAAACTAACGCAGCAGAAGCGAAGACCAAACAGAAGAAATACTATGATGAGAAGAGCAGGGAAACTACGTTCAAACCAGGAGATGATGTCCTTCTATTACTGCCTACAAGTGAAAACAAACTTGAGATGAGATGGAATGGACCTTACAAAGTGAAACAACGCCATGGAAAAGTAAACTACGAAGTTGAAGTTGGCAACAAGACTAAGATTTATCATATCAACCTTCTTAGAAAATACACAGACAGAGAAGAATATTGCTTCATGATGACAGAAGATGAAGATGACAGCGATATTGAAGACGTCATGGTCATATCAACAAAACCAGATGTCCAGATCAAGAAATATGACTTGAATGCTGAGATGACAGCCAATCAAAATCAACAAATGAAATCTCTGTTAGATGATTTCAATGATGTTCTCTCCAATGAACCTGGAAGAACAGACCTGATAAGACACCATGTTGACACGGGACAAGAGAAACCACATCGTCAACCAAGCTACAGAATCCCTCAAAGTCATCTAAAAACAGTGAAAGAAGAATTGGATTCTATGCTGAAAGATGGTATAATTGAACCTTCTACAAGTGAATGGATATCAAATGTTGTCTTGATTCCAAAGAAAGACAATACAATTAGATTTTGTATTGACTTTCGGTACCTCAACAGTGTATCAAAATTTGATCACTACCTTATGCCAAGAATAGATGACATTATAGACAAGCTTCAGAAAGCAAAGTGGATTACAGTTGTTGATCTTTGCAGAGGATTTTGGCAGATACTCCTTACAGAAGAGTCGAGAGACAAATGTGCTTTTCGTACACCCTGGGGAATTTTCCAATTCATAGTGATGCCGTTTGGTCTCCATGGAGCCCCAGCAACCTTTCAAAGGATGGTAGATGAACTACTTAGAGGTGCAGAAGATTACATTGCAGCATATCTCGATGACATCATCATCTTCAGTGAAACATTCCAAGATCATCTTACCCATGTGGAAGACTTGATGAAAAGATTAAGAGAACATCATTTGACAGCAAAGCCTGCAAAATGCCAATTTGGATACCATGAAGTTGTGTATTGTGGACACAAAGTTGGCAAAGGAAGAGTAACACTAAAACCAAGTGCTATAGAAGCTATACAGAAGTTTGAAAGACCAGAAACAAAGTCCTTACTCAAGACATACCTGGGAATGACAGGATACTATAGACGCTTTGTTGAAGATTATGCTACAAAGGCCTACCCTTTAACAGAACTGACAAGAAGACAGATTCCTAAGAAGATACCATGGGATGACAAAGCAGAACATTCATTCCAAATTCTGAAGAAAGAGTTGTGTGAACACCCTATCCTAAGAACCCCAGACTTCAACTTGCAATTCATTGTGATGACAGATGCATCTGACTATGGTATAAGTGGAATCTTATGTCAAACATTTGATGATGGAGAACATCCTGTGATATACCTTAGCAGAAAGATGATGCCAAGAGAACGGAACTATGCTGTTATTGAAAAGGAATGCCTCGCAATGAAATGGGCCATTGAACAGCTGAGCTATTACCTGTTAGGAAGGGAATTTGTAGTTGTTACAGATCACAACCCTCTTGTTTGGTTGAAGAACATGGAAAACACTAACCCTAGACTCATGAGATGGTCTTTGTCACTGCAACAATACAGATTTACAGTGATACACAGGGCAGGTCGATACAACCAAAATGCAGATGCATTATCACGATTATGAATCTATTAAAACAGACATTAGTGAGAATAAAAGAAGTAGACATGAGGAAAAGTACAATTCTATGCATTCAAAGACATTTCATAGAAACACAATTGTAAAAAGTGCATAATTGAGGACATTTGAAATTTGAAGAAAGTGATCCTTAATTAGTGAAAGTTTTAATTTTTGGGAAAAGCAATCCCTGAGAATTAGTTAAATGGACAACTTTTTTTTAACTTTTGGGGACAATCCATCCCTTAAAGAAGAAAGTCATATCAGATGTGACTGTTTTATGGAAAACGATAGAAAAAGACCAAAAACAGTCAAAAGAAAGGGGGAAGATGTAATGTATATGGAACTAAAAGTTTTAAAGTTGATCAAAAGATGGCACTAGAGTATACTAAACTAGACTCAAAACTGAAAAGTGCAATCAGAGAAGCCAATTATGTTTTTGAAAAGAACAGTTAGTTCACAAAGAGAAGTCAAAGCATCCAGATGTAAATATTATGTGAAGATGTAAAATAAGAAATAAGAACATAACGTTATACAAATGATCCAAGAACCAAATAAGAGACCGAAATAAGCGACAACTGTCAGACCTAGCAACAGCATCAAAGGGGCCCCTCGTCATAACGTCCAGAACCCAAGATAGGTGCGACAAGGTAGTATAAACAAGATAATAACAACATTACATACCCCCATGAATGTGGGGGTGATTTGCCTTTTTCTTATTTTTGACATTTAGTGATTGCAAAATTGAGGTTTACCTTATCAAAGTCAATAATTTAAATAAAAGCAAACCGAACCCACATTTATGGGGGTAATTACACCATCCCCCTGAAGGACAACATCCCATTGTAACTGATTCACATGGGCAAATTCCATATCTGACACCATCGAATGACCCTGGGTATGCTCGTCTGTGAGGTTCTAGTGTAATAAGTCAGATATACAGTGCTGAATTGATAAGTCGTATATTTGGCATACTTTCATGAATTTTAACATTTAATGCCCCCAAACTGCAGAAAAATATACACCGTAAGTCATATTTACCAAAATGAGTGTCTCCAAGGCTTCAATTACCAGTGTAAGGGTAATCTACGCCAGGTTTGTTTATTGTGGTTAGCTTCTAATGGTAGGTGCTCAGGAGCAAATAATTCATGTGTGCAAAATAATCAAATAATCTGATTGGTTTTAACTTTAGTGCGCATGCGCATGGTGTGTGCCATGTTATTTCTAGTGATTTTGCTTCGTTCCATGGAGTTTGAGTTTCAGTGTAACTTCCGCAAAAATGGCGGACCAATGACAGAATTAAGAGGTAAAATCACTTCGAAATTTAGAGAACTAGCAAATATAATAGCAAAACTTTATTTGTGCATTATATCCATCAGATGAGAGTCTCAGGGGTATATGGGCAAATCCATTTTGGTAGGAGCACTCTGTTTAGTTTGAAAACTCATCCTTTATTATTGTGTATCGGCACTAAAATTCAATGTCCCTTGCGGGAATTTAACCCAGGACGCTCCGCTCCAGTCTGACGCTCTACCGCTAGAGTCAGAGGGAATAGCCACTACAGCTAGGCTGTAGCAGCGAATTTCTATCAAGGGTTAACACAGAAGCATTCAAATAATTATATGTTTTTACTAGATGTGGGAAACTGAGCTGCCAAACTTTGTCTTTTTGACATTTCTTGACATTTGTTTTTGAAAAAAAGATTCACTCACTTTTAAACTGGTTTTGCACAAAATTACACGCTTGAAACCAAATTATTGCTGCACATATTTGTTTTCTATATGTTTGAACGACGTATCAACCTTATTATATACAAGATTAACTTGGTTTACTTACCTAAATCATATGAAGAAGACTACTTCAATAAAATTCACACGTCAACAAACAAGGCTTCCGGTCATAATGCGCATGCGCAAAAATCCCGGAAGTAATCATTTCTAAAATTGAAAAGTAAACAAATTTTACATTTTATCTGCTTTATCGTAATCGATGCATGTGATACAAAGATATTAAAAGCGACAATATAGAAATGTCAAGTTTCCACCAGAAAATCAAGGATCAGAAGCTTGATAGCCTACACAAAGTCATTGATAATGGCACAAACAAATATCTATTTTTCACAAAATTCCTTGACCAGCATCAATCTTGGATTCTTTGTGTTAGTGATGGCATAGAACTATGGAGACTTGAAGTTGATGATCAGGAGCTTGATACTAGAAGAGATGTTTTGGAACTCTCATCGATTGATTCTTACCTGACTAAATTCAGGTAAGACAAAGCTGACGAGCATAGCGCCCCTTAAAAGTCTTGTGTTTCGTACACCGCTATATCCTTGCCAGTTAGTTTCCTTGTAGTTTTTGTTATTCACTTTATGCTTTGTATTGTACTTTATCAATCGTTATGCTGGGCTGATCAGAGCATAGTGAGCGCCATCTAGCTGGATTTGTAGAAAAAAACCGGGTACCTAGTAAATCCTACATGCTGGGTTCAAACTTTGTACCCGGTCGAAAAAAAACCAGGTACCCCAAAAAATGAAAACTACGAATAAATAACATATATCATTAGAAAAGGTGTAAGATTTGTTTTGAATTTACTAAAATGAATGTTACTTCCTTCAAAATTGAGCTAGAAGCTTCAAATAAAAAGCATTTTAAGGCTCTTTTCTTCCTCTATCATCATGGTCATATTTTCATTGGTTATGGAGGGGGGGGGGTGCGTTCATACCATTGCACCCCCTCCTGGCTACGCCTATGACATTGTAAGACGATTTGAAAAACATGACAAATCAATCTTACTCTATTTTCAATAGTTCGTATGTTGGTATGTGAACTGTTTTGATTATGATTTAAATCTGTAAATAGCATTCGTAGGATATTAGCTATCAGAATTGTCGTAGAAGTTAACTCATTGATGAAATTCTTTTTTGAGTTTTTTCACCTTTGACTTTTTTTATTTCAGAACGGCATACCAGTCAGGGGACATACAGATTTCTCAGCAAGGGTTCAGTGTCAGCCTCACTATTGGACAGGGAGCAAAATCATTTGATTTTAAACTGTATGAAGCCAAAGCTGCTGAAAAGAAATTAGACGTTCAAGATATTTTATTTCGACTTGCTGAAGTCTCAATTGATCTTGATAAGAAATTAACTCAAGCTGAAAAAACTATAGACACATTAAGATCAGAACAAGGAAAAAACAGCAGTAAACATACAGGTTATTTCGCTGATCAGGAAAAGGATGTTGTGTCAAAAACTAAAGTCCGTCCTCGTCAAGTTGGGATGAGTGTGATAAACCCAAGCAGTAAGAAAAGAAAGGTTGCACAGGGAATGGTATTTGAAGATAGTGATGAGGATCAATAAAATCTGTAAACCTGCTTAGTTAAACAAGCAAAGAATAAAAGTAAATACAAAAAACCAAGCCTAACTTAAGCCCATTCGTAAAAGTGTGTCATATAGTTAAAGTGACTCTATCTGTCTATCTTTCAGTGTTCTTTAGGAAAATAAATACTTTCATCCCCCCTGTACATTTCCAATCATATTTTAAGTAATTCCATAAACCATAAGGAGACTATTGGAACTTAAATAGATTCAAAAGCATTTTTAATCTTTTTTTTATGTTCAATTCTTTGTGATGCCAAAAGAAAGATGTTGAAAATATTCATATTGTGGTTTATTCATTTTAATGTAACCACCAGAAGTCCTGGCATATTTGTTATAGCCTAGTTTCCAACTTTTTTGTGGACACTATTCAGTGGTTGGTGTTCAGCGTCTGTAACAAATGGCGAGTGATAACATTTTGTATGTTAATGCAGTTTTGGTCTATATGTCAAACATATATGACATTTATCTATTCAATTGTAATTTAAAACATTGTGGTGAAAAGTGTGCAGGCCAAACAGTCTCTAAGTATGGTTTTTCTTGCTTTAACATTCGCGAAAGGAAGCTTTGTGGTCATTCAATTGATTGTGTAACATGTTTCCACAATTTTTGTTTCCACTTTTTTAAAATATGCATGGTGCTTCTTTAATGATGTACCCATGTTCAGATGTTATCAGTGTATTTTATTACTAAGACCAATTTTTAGAAACACTGTTGCTTGATTCAGAAACATGACACAACATTATGTAGTGGTCTTGCTCTAGTGAACACAAAAAATGGAATTAACATGCTGATTTTGAAAAGGAAACGACTTTTAACAACAGCCATTATATCATTGCATTCTTTGATGTACCAAAAAGTGGCATGGTTTATTGGAAAAGGTCAATTGTATTTGGTTTTCTCAGTGAATATATCATTACAATACTGTATTTGTCTTTAATTTGACAATTTGGGGATATCAGACATATGGTCATTTATTCAATTTGGCAGTTTTTCAAGGGGATAAATCTCATATCTATTTCATTTGGCATTTTGCAAGGGATCAAACCACAAAAACACTGATTATGCATACTGTACCTGAATCCTGATAAAGTAGGATATATTTATATGACCCTCTCTCTTGACTTTGATATTGTGAAATGTTTTGTATGTTATTTGATGCCTCAGGTTGGCCAATTGATCCTGTCGATCGAGTGTCCCTGACACTCTCCTCCTGACCCAGTTTTATTGAAAAACATTGAAAGCATCTGATGTTAGCATGGGGTCACCTATTGCACTAATACTGCACTCTCCAAATGGATCCGCTTCAGTAACAAAATGTTGGAACCTCAAAGGTATGATTTGTCTTTTCCCTTATTTCACGAGTTGTATTTTTTCATGAGATGTATTTTTTATCACAAATGTGTCAGTATCATAAGTTTAAGACAATCTACACGTTTGCGAACACATACTTCAAAAGATGACAGAATTATCTATATAATACCTCACTAAGTACCATAGAACGAGTTAAAAGTACAGATCTTAACAAATATTTGAGGTTCCGTTTACATATCAAAAGTGATATTAGCCTATATCAATGATTCTATCATCTTCTGAACAATTTCTTCGCAAATATTTAGATTTTCTTAAACATATGATACTAAAACCTGTTTGTGATAAAAATGTCGTGGAAATTCTGCCTAAAACTTGGGAAATAAGAAAAAAAGAAAAACAAAACTTACAGGTTCTTACATTTTAGTAACTAGTTTGAAGAGTGCAGAACCATTGTATTGAGAGAACCCATTATTGGAATTACGAGTGTTTGCAAACAAAAGTAAAATTCTTTTTAGTACACACCATACTTGCTGCTAGTTTGACCTCGAGAGTCCACATCCTGGTAGAATATTTAACATACATGACTTCATCTGTTTAAGGTTTTATGATTTTATTAGAACCACATACATATAAATAATCGTTCTTTGTTTTTTTATTATAATTATACTGTATTTCTTTGAAAACAATGCTAGGTGAGTTAGATGAACAATGTACAGGACATAGTGTCTCTAAAATGTCACAATAGTTTTACTATTTCACACATATTCTCGTTCTGAATGAAATATCTAATTTGTATATCATAAATTGTAGATTTCATGCTTATTTTCACTTATTCCTTATTATTTTCTTTCTTAATCACGCTATTCCATATTTGTAAATAGCACAACCAATGTGACATTTTAATTCCACGATGTGAAGTAAAAACACACACCGAACAGTTTACCATTATAACATCACAAACGATCAGACTTTGTTCTAAATGCATACATGAAGATATTCCAAAAATAATTCTTATTTTGATTCATGTTTTTTTGTGAATTGTACGTGCTTTGGACCTTCCATGAAATTTCAAATAAAATGTAAAGGATCTAAAACAGTTTGATCAAAATGTTAAACAAAAATGACCATTACTGTTGTTTTTTCAAACTAAATGTAAAATCAACAAATCGATCCTACAACAAATATATTAAACAGAAATGAATAATTGTATTGATTAAACTGAAACAATAAACAATGAAAAATATTAGAATATGGAAACAAAATACTTATATTCTGTCTTATATTTATCTAAGTGTTGATTGTAGGCAATTACTTTACATGATTCGACTACAATTGATTACATTCTCTCTGTTCATATGACTCATAAACCCTGTATTCATTACTGTAACCATGCTTTATTCAGAGAACATTTTAATTTGGCTATTTGCAGTTTTTAATTTTGGCATTTGAGCATTTTATAAAACAAGTAAAATATCATTGATCTTTGATTTCATTATATAATAATGACAATTTTTATTAAGCAATATTAGCATTTAAAGAAATTGTGAATATAGGAAAGTATCTCAACCTAACTTGCAAAATAGCAAAATTAAAACATGTACAGTGTTACTAAATGAAAAATATGGCTACAGTACTTGCCAGCTTGCTTATTTTGGAGACGAAACAATAACATGCTATAACGTGGTCAGGATTCATAGCTTTACTATAAAACAATTCAATGACATGTACATACATTGCAATTGTATAACTCCTCAGATATACCAACTGACTATTACAACTGATCAATCAATGATGAAAGGAGATACCCTGTAAGGCAACCCTGGCCAAATTTCAAGAATGAATTCTGAATATGATGCCAATGAAACATTCCCCTGGGAAGAATTTCACCATTGTTCTCAGATAAATGGAGTACTTGGAAAATAGGCAATTCACTTACAGAATAGAACTTTACAATATCAAGTGAAATGGACTCCAGAATAGCTTTGAAGGCAGGTGGTGGAATAAGGGAAGCAGGAAATGGGTTTGGCAGCAATATGTGAATTTGACCCATTTCTTTGATCAATCAAATATTGTAAATTGTTTCTGATTCTGTTTTAATTCAGCATTGATAATATTTATCTTAAATCAGATAACCATGTTACCCTATCTATATGTATTTTGTTCTATTTTCTCAAAAATCTGCCAAAATACAATCAAATTGATCGACTTAGTAATGAAATCACATTGAAGCCCCTTCACTTGATAAACTGGACTTAAGAAATTGGGCTTGCATTTATTGTCTTATGGATCCATGTATAGCTGAATAAATGGTTAAATTACAACAAAGGAGTTTGTTCAAGTGCATCAATGGAGAAATATTTTGTTGAATTTGATCAAGAGATAATCAATGAGAAATGGATATTCTTTCTCAAATTTGGAGAATGATATATAAATCTTGTAAATTCTCAATTATTATTGACCACCCTTCAATCTCATTGTCTTTCAGTTTGCAAATAAAACCATCAAGTGTTTATTGAATCAAGAAGTGACAGAAGTACATATTCAGAAATGTTGAGCCATATGAAATATGTTTGTAACCATGGCGAGTGAAATGTAAAATTGATATTAATGTAACCAAGGCAGCCACCACTATTACTGTCCCTACTTCAGCCAAGAGCCATAGAGCAAAACTCAAAATATCAAAAGTATGTAATATTATATTATTTGAATTCTTTATTTACTATTCCATAATTGTGTTGATAAAATGTGAATTTACAATGCATACATGATGTTCTGAGATCTTGGTCTCTGTCTATACCTCTCTACTTGCATGTAGCTACAATATAATTAATAAAAAACTCCAAATATAACACAATGATCATTACAGTCATTGAAATGAAAAATTACAGAGAAATTACTCAAACTGCAATATAAAGTAAATTAATCAAATAAGTTCTTTAATGAATGTTCAATGACCATTGTGCCATAATGTTGGAGGTTTTTTGACAATGTCATAGAAACTCTACTTTAAGTGTTTATTATTCCATAATCCATAATTAAGCGATGATGATTGTAGAAAATGTCAGCTGAGTCTGCATTTTACCATACTGCGATAAACACATAGTCAGTTTTACTTCATTTTATATATTTATATATATATATATAGCCATACAAAACTTCTCCCATACTCTGTGCATTCATATCTACATATTTATACAATATTTTTTTATGTATACAAAAATGTGTCAAATCTGACACATTTAACTCATGACGTTGCCACAAGAGGCAGCACCATCTAGGAGGCCACCTATAGGGTGTTGTAGAAATCACTCTAATCTAGCGTCCCTCCTCACTTCACAGTTTTAATTCATTAGCAATTTTTGAGGCTATATTTTTGAAGCCTATGGAAGTGCCTGATATGCGCTTAAACCTGACCCCATTTAGGGAAAGTCTAGGGAGCTTACAAACTTCCATCTCCCACTGTACTAGACTGTCTGTGTTTGGGTCCCCATGTACACATAGTAGCAGAAATTTCTCACGTTGCTCGTAATCACAATTGTTGGCATCAAGCACCTTGCGTATTTCCCGCATCATCTCGTTAGGATCCATCGATGACGTCGTTTTCATGCTCCACGTGAACCTCAACGATCGTGGCTTAATGGAATCCTGCTCATTCATGGACCTACGGAACAATTTGCTGCAAATTAGAAAACATGACATGCTGTTGATGCTGGTCCTCCTTCTGCTTTGGTTTAGTAGCGTTACGCGTTAAGTGCACCCAGTCCAGACAGCATGCTATATGATGGCATTCACTGTAATAGCAAGCTTATCAGATATTAATTAGTAACCTCACAGATAATATAAAGGTGGTCAGGCTATACTCATCAGAACTTAAGACTCGACTCAATTTCTCGTTTTAGGAACTTCAAGTCATTGCCATGATCCACCATTATTATTGTCTGTAAGGAATGGGTGTTTTGTCATCAGTCTATACAACTCTCAAATGCACGAGGCCCTTATGTTTATGCATCAATAAATATCCCATGCATCATATCAAAAGGGGGTAGACTCGAAATGAAAAATTTCAGTCAGAAATGATTCAAGGTCGAAAATACAGCTTAGAATGTGAACCATGTATCAAAAATGTTCCTTTCTCTAATGGGACAACCAGAAAATCATGACACCATGCAAATAACCCTAGATGATCGACAGGTATGTATAGACTGATTTCAATGTGTTACTGTGGAATAGAGGTACTGATGTCAAGACAAAGAAATGTCTGGCAAAAGTTGAGGATAGACTCTACCATAATACAAGATGTTATATGTGTTACATACAAACATAGATTGATACGTGAGAAGTTCAAGAGAACTATGATACTTAAGCTGAAGTTAAGGATAACAGGAAGTGACCATGCAGTGTTGTTGATAAATGTGACATGGTGTTACTTTGTTATGATGGTAGGTCCAATAGGGGGGTGTTATGTTCCTCTATCAAGTACTTTATAGGCAAATTATGCTTAAAGAAAATCTTGATCAAGTTACATAAACACTGAAGGCCTTTAGGACACTGTAGAAGTTGTTCATTAATTATATATGACAATGTTGAGCAATATTACCAAAGTCTTAATATACGAATCATGAACTACCTCTTCAGTGTTTGCCAATATATACAGTTAACACATTGAGTTCCCATAGTGCAGCTCAGCAAGCAATGGCATTTTCACATCCCATCAAAACAAGACCCACAAAACAAGCACTTAGTATAGAGCATAATAGCTTACAGCTCCAAACTACTCAATAAGCTGCAAAATTACAGCTTAGCTTTTAACATTACAGGCAGTTTGGCAATCCCATGATTCATTTTTTGGTCATATGTCTTTTCAAATAATTCAGGAATTCTGGGATGTTGACTCCTTCATCGAATAAATCTTTAGCCAGTGTATCATGAAGTCAAAATGCACATGCCACAAGCTGCTATATAGCATACAGTTTCACAATCCATGGTCATCGTTTTTTCAGAAATACACAGGGTAATAGAAGCATTCTGGACAATACACACATCCATATAAACATACATAAGTAACTCCGGTCTATTATCACATTAAGTATTGTATCAAGAAGCCATGCATATATGGATGTTTGTAGTCATGAAAGCTTTAATTCTACTACCCTTCTACTATTATTGCATACATCATTACACAACACATATTCTCTAATAATACAATGTTTGTACCAAAACAATAATATTTTACGACATCCTCCGAACACAGGCCTCCAGAACTCATGAACACTGTGTTCGGAGGGTGATTTTACGATAATTTGTTATAATTTTCAGTTTTTTTTAAAATATGAGTATATGTATTATGTATGCTAGCATAGTATGCAACAAAATTATAATATATGATAGAACACTTAAAAGGGTTCAATCTCAATTTTTATTTTTTTAACCATACCCTGAACAGTTTTCACAATCAATAAACCTTGACAAATTCTTACTTTCTGTAAATACAAACATGTAAAAATTGCTCTCTCAGTAAGGAACAAGACAAGTTATATGTTGTTGGTTGTTCTGAATTCTAAATTGTTGGTGCATTTTATGATCAGAAAAAGAAATTGAGCCCCTTTAACATAAATGCAATTTTAATAGCTCTATATAATATGTATATATGCATGTTTATCAATTCAAGTACTTATTCACAATACAAAAGTGATATTAGTAATATTTTTGAGAACATAAAAAACAAAATAATTGAAACTTTTAAGAAGTGTGTCATTTTCAATTCTGAATTACGTCTACATGTTTTAAGCAAGGTCGGTGAAGCTACTATAGAGGTCACTGTGATTATCAGGAGGGAAAAATTCAAATTAAATGGTGCACGAACCATGTCAACTAGCGACTAGGTCAAGGTGACACAGAATCCTAGATGAAAAAATAAAAATAATGAAAATATCTTAAAACCTAAAAAATCTGGATGGGTGCTACATACTAGAAAGGTATTTAAAATTAAAATTCACTTTGATCTGATGAAAACCTTTTTATGCCAGGGGACCAATTCTGCAACTATCCTCATTAAGAGGAACGAACCATTTTCTATTATGGGATAAAGAGGATAAAACATACTAGTAAACTGGCTTCCATTTTAAACTATTGGATAATGAGCATCTCAAAACTGAATCCAGGAGTTAAACTGGCCATAAAACAAAAATCATAGCAAGCACAATCTGTATACAATGCAGTCCACAAAGTGAAGAAAATTTCCTCAATGTTAATGTATGATAAGAGATGACTGGGTTTACTTTGTGTTCTGGACTGTATATATTCAGTCCTCTATACTGGGGAAACCAGGCAGGAAATCAGCCAATTATATATGGGATATTTTATCATTACTGTGGGTATATTTCTGGACCCTCCATGCAGGGCCGCATTGCTATATGTGGTTGAGGAAGGTTCTAAAACCTGGACCATGATCCTCAAATTCAACTGTCACACAATATTTTACCATTGCAAATCAATTTAATAAATTCACATTTATGGCAATACTATGGCAAAATGTTGTATAACTGAATTTGACGAATTCATGCCCATGAAAAGCTCACGAAATAGTCCCCGGGTAGCAAGCTAGGTGGAAACCAGGCCGCTCATTGATTATTCCTACCTTATATAGAGATTGAGGTATTGGTTAGTCATCAGCCTTGTGAAGATCCTTGGCTTTATTCCTAGTATTAAATGTTATAGTGAACCACAGTTAGTGTGAATACAGGGTGTTCCAAAAGTAAAAGAAAATCTCTTGGTGATCAATTATCAATTTCTCCAAATACCAAATATGAATTTCTACAATTATAAGTTATCCAAATAAGAGAATAAAATAAAACGGCCAAAGAAAAATCAACACCCTAACAAATTACATGTACTCATAGCACACATTTATTGGAAAAAATCTTTTTTAATAGGAAACAGGCCTGAATGTGATTTGAGTAGAGAAAATTTGACCACCAAAAAATCTTTAGGGCAGGTTAAGTGAACATTTTTTCATAATTACGATACTGATGCTTTTAACAATCAGAATTCAGAAGACAATATGTTCAAACAAACTACTGTACAGCCAAATATTGGGACAGACATGATTGTAAAAAAATCAATCTAGCCTCAGCCTATGTTATCTAAAATGATGACCACTGTTATCTAAAATCACAACTAGCATTCCTAGTGTCTAATAATTACAAAAACATTTACAGTCATCTCAAAATTAATCTTTCACAGGGAAGTCATCAAAATGCAATAGTTATCCATGCATGGAGAAGGGGTACAAGGCCTCAGGATTGGAGGGAGTCTTGGGATAACCCTTTATAGTACATATACACCTAATATTCCCAGCGTTTCTCAGACACATACACTCCACGACCCACAGCATGCCATACAAGTGAAACTTTTCCAGATCAAATCATCAATTCGTGATTATAAAGTTTGCGGAGATTTTCATTGGTAATTGAATCGACACACTTCCTAAAGTTTCTATTATCTAGTTATGGACACATTGTTTTACCTGATTATATTTTGTTCAGTGCTTGGCTATACTACTTTAACTTAACTATATATAAAGCAATGTCTACATCATGGTATAGGCAGGAATGGGAATCACTCAAACTATTCAACACTTTTTTGGAAAAACAACAACTTTGCAGTTCATGAATTTAATAATGAGCCAAAACATCAATTTTTAAATAACCAGATTTAAAAATCATCAATTTGATTTTGAAATCCACTTTTACCAATTAAGTATTTATTAAATTTAAGTGACCCCGCCCGATATCTATTTCTGCGTAGCCACTCTCAAATCTCATCAGATGTACCATAACTTTTACAAGCGATGAGATATGACCAGTTTTATATAAAGAATACTTGAAATACAGTAAAGTATTGTATAAAAGACTGCCCACCATGCATGCAATCTATAAACCTACTTTGATCGCTTCGAAGAAATTCCCAAAGAGCATAATGAACTGACACCATCAAATACAAAGTTCATGTTTCAAATGTGAAATATATGAACAGACAGAAGTTCATACATAACCTTTAATCTTTTCAATACCATGAACATTTTGTAAGGAGGATTTAGAAACTTCCAAAAGAGTATATAGTCAATGCCCAGTGGGTATCTAGAAATATTCAATTGAAGCGAACCAAAGAATGTGTAGCACAAACTGCATGCATTAGTGGTCAAATACCTTCGACTAAACTTTGAAGTCAGTTTGTTGAAAAATGATACAGGTTGTTGTTGTGGCCCGATAGAGCCGGGTCCCATTGCAGATGTGTCTTGTGTTCGTGATGGCACTCCGTAATTTCCAATAGGTGGCCGTTGTTGACGTATATGCCCAGGACCGCCGTGGATTGTATTGCGGATAGGCACTGCACGTGTGAACCTATTGGCAGATGGTGCTGTGCCAGGGGACACCGGTAGCTGTGATGTTTTACCTGGGGCCGTTCTGTGAGATAAGAGCGACGTGTTAGGGGTGCTATATTCCCACACTGACTCATCATATAAAGCTCCCTTGAGTGTTTGTGCTCATATGATCATTTAAAACTTTAACAGTGTACTTGATTTCAAAATATTCAGATAAAGGTTTTGCATGTAATGCTACATCACGAATGAGCAAAATACAAATGGATTCGTGAGTAATTCTAGAAGTTTTTTAATGAGATACATGTACCCTGTACAAAAGCTTTTGATATCACAATCCATAGAAAATTTAGAAAAGCTTGTAAACAGGAGATACATGTACCTTGTACAAAAGCTTTTGATATCACAATCCATAGAAAATTTAGAAAAGCGTCACAACATGCACATTGTGCATAAAGTTTCTATTGATTTATTTTCAACAAAGTGGAATGAGGGAATGGTGTCCAAGTAGTATTTATCAATAGTTCTAGAAAACATTGTTTATTTTATCATTATGGTTTAAGGATTAACTAGATTAGGATTAACCCCTTCCTGCTCCCCAGATGAAAATAAGTTTAACATAAAATTGTCATTTGCCTTTCATCTGAATTTTTCAAAAAATCAAAAATCTTCAGTTATGAAATTGTCATTTTTTCCCTCCAACCCCAAAATTGAAACCATTGTTTCAGTTCGACACCATCCCTCATTAGACAATATTTTCAATTCAAGCACACTTCTAAAGTTATAAATAAATAGGCTTCATCAATTCCTTATCCTTTGTGAAGTTAGTGAAACATATGTGACCCAAAATTCCAAAAACTGTTATCTTTACTGACTGATTGACTGACTGACTGACTGCAAAGTTTGTAGATAAGTAGAACACTGTCAGTAGAAACAACAAACATAAAAAGCAGAATACTATAACTTTTAGCTGATTATTTCAACTGAATAGAAATCCAAGCAAATTTCTGGATCTATCTATATATGTTCACACATGACTTAAAGAGATTTCATACTATAATAAGGTTAAAGTTGATGACTCAACATGTATGCTCAACATGTACATACAATAGAAGTAATTTTCAGTTCAAAATATATTCAACAATTAACATGTACAGTTGGAAATCATCACAAACAGTCAATTGTCAGGGTTAATCAATGAGTATTATGAACAGTCAATTGCGTTGCCAAAAGTATAGTTAATGATTAACTTGTACATGGATAGCCAATTGCCAAAATGCAGAGTCAATGGTTCTTAGTAAAACAACTGGAAACTTGTAGTCCATGATACTATACAGGCAATCAACAACTTGAACAGTCAAAGAGTTCCCTGTACAGGACAGCCAATTGGCAACATAACAAGTCAATTACTAACATGTACAGTCAAGGATTTGCCTGTACAGTCAATTGTCAACCTGTACAACCAATTGGAAAAATGTGAAATGTACAACCAATTGGCGACATGTTAAGTCAATCAGTATTATGCACAATCAGTGATTTGCCTCTACAGTCAATTGTCAACCTGTACAACCAATTGGAAAAATGTGAAATGTACACCCAATTGGCCACATGTTCAGTCAATCAGTATTATGCACAATCAGTGATTTGCCTCTACAGTCAATTGTCAACCTGTACAACCAATTGGAAAAATGTACACCCAATTGGCGACATGTTAAGTCAATCAGTATTATGCACAATCAGTGATTTGCCTCTACAGTCAATTGTCAACCTGTACAACCAATTGGAAAAATGTACACCCAATTGGCGACATGTTAAGTCAATCAGTATTATGCACAATCAGTGATTTGCCTCTACAGTCAATTGTCAACCTGTACAACCAATTGGAAAAATGTACACCCAATTGGCGACATGTTAAGTCAATCAGTATTATGCACAGTCAGTGATTTGCCACTACAGTCAATTGTTAACCTGTACAACCAATTGAAAAAATGTACACCCAATTGGCCACATGTTCAGTCAATCAGTATTATGCAAAATCAGTGATTTGCCTCTACAGTCAATTGTCAACCTTACCAATTGGAAAAATGTGAAATGTACACCCAATTGGCCACATGTTCAGTCAATCAGTATTATGCACAATCAGTGATTTGCCTCTACAGTCAATTGTCAACCTGTACAACCAATTGGAAAAATGTACACCCAATTGGCGACATGTTAAGTCAATCAGTATTATGCACAGTCAGTGATTTGCCACTACAGTCAATTGTTAACCTGTACAACCAATTGAAAAAATGTACACCCAATTGGCCACATGTTCAGTCAATCAGTATTATGCAAAATCAGTGATTTGCCTCTACAGTCAATTGTCAACCTGTACAACCAATTGGAAAAATGTACACCCAATTGGCGACATGTTAAGTCAATCAGTATTATGCACAATCAGTGATTTGCCTCTACAGTCAATTGTCAACCTGTACAACCAATTGGAAAAATGTACACCCAATTGGCGACATGTTAAGTCAATCAGTATTATGCACAATCAGTGATTTGCCTCTACAGTCAATTGTCAACCTGTACAACCAATTGGAAAAATGTACACCCAATTGGCGACATGTTAAGTCAATCAGTATTATGCACAGTCAGTGATTTGCCACTACAGTCAATTGTTAACCTGTACAACCAATTGAAAAAATGTACACCCAATTGGCCACATGTTCAGTCAATCAGTATTATGCAAAATCAGTGATTTGCCTCTACAGTCAATTGTCAACCTTACCAATTGGAAAAATGTGAAATGTACACCCAATTGGCCACATGTTCAGTCAATCAGTATTATGCACAATCAGTGATTTGCCTCTACAGTCAATTGTCAACCTGTACAACCAATTGGAAAAATGTACACCCAATTGGCGACATGTTAAGTCAATCAGTATTATGCACAGTCAGTGATTTGCCACTACAGTCAATTGTTAACCTGTACAACCAATTGAAAAAATGTACACCCAATTGGCCACATGTTCAGTCAATCAGTATTATGCAAAATCAGTGATTTGCCTCTACAGTCAATTGTCAACCTGTACAACCAATTGGAAAAATGTACACCCAATTGGCGACATGTTAAGTCAATCAGTGTTATGCACAATCAGTGATTTGCCTCTACAGTCAATTGCCAACCTGTACAACCAATTGGAAAAATGTACACCCAATTGGTGGCATGTTAAGTCAATCAGTATTATGCACAGTCATTGATTTGTCTGTGTGTCAATTGCAAATCTGTACAACCAATTGGAAAATATGTACACCAAATGAGTTATGTACCATCAATTAATTAGGAACACATACAGTCAAAGATATGCATGTACAGTTAAGAATCAACATAAAGTTCTAACAGTGTTTAACATAAGACTTTGGGGTCACACAGTTTCAACAAACTCTACAATTTATTCTTTACAAACATGTCCAAAATCATCACACCTTGTTTAACAGTTTAACACATAAACTTATAGGCTATTATTAGTTAGACTAAGAATTAACATTATAAAATACACATGTTTTAACTCCCAGAACTGTGTATGTCATACTTTCAACCGAATAATACTAATGGTGAATGAAAATAAATGTTTTTTGGGATATCATGGTATTCGAATCATACAACTTAAATATGGATAAATGACGAGAAATTACATGAACGGAAAAAAGCTCAAATCTAATGATTTCCAAAAGGCCTAAACAGAAATAGATGATAAATACAAAATGTCTAAATAAAATGCCAAGGGAAATTAAATTGTTTTGAATTTCAAGTTAAAGAGTATTTAAAAATTATTCGACTACCATGATATCTCTATATATGAGAGCCTCTGAAAGTTGAGTGATTAATTATGAACAGTGCATGCATACAATGCTCAAAATGCAATGATCAAGGTGAAGCTCGAATTGAAGCATGATAATTCATTAAATAATGTAGGACGTTGTTGGTGTAGGGTGATTTCAAAGCTTTTTATGCTAACATGCAACATTGTCTTTTTTTCCTTTTCAACTTAGTTTTAGTTTTATATATGTCTCTAAAATGTTTATTAACTTGAAATTTGGGCATTGTAGAAATTTCTTTCTTTTATAGTTTTCCAAATTAGAAAAATAATGCCATCCTTCAAGCAAAATATTCTCCAGTTTTAGCTACTTAAATTAACAAATATGAATCTGTTACTTTTAAAGGCCTGTACTCTTCCTTTAAAGGCACTTGTCTATTAAGTGGCTGACCATGTACAACAAACAAGAGCCTTTATTAATGGCTTGGAAAATTGCAAATGTTTGAAGGATGACATTTTATGACTTATCCTTTAGCTTCATTTGAGCTTCAATTCAATATATATATTAATAATATGAGCACATAATTCTAGCATTTGTGCTATTATGTTTTAGATATTTTCAGATTATTCTCAAATAAACTTTCTCCAAATCAGAAATATACTTGAGACATTAAGTTCAAATTAATGTTATTTGATACAGAAAATCACAATTATGCTAGAATGTATGTGCCCAGAGTTATGTATTTCATCCTCGAAATGCATGGCTGCAGAACTCTACAAATTTCTTCCTTCTTCCTCAATGCGATCCTCTGTTTAAAATGAGCAGAGATCAATCAATCATAGGACCTGAGTGGTAAGCTTCCATATTCGTAAATAAATTACCATATCATTGCCACGGAACAGTTCCTATGTCGAACCTTGATGAGTCACATGACCAAATTACGAGTTTGTATTAAACAGTGGACCGCATGTTGCAAAAGGGAAGAAGTTGCTCAAGTTCTTGAACTGCCTTCCGAGAAGGATATACATTTGCTTGAACTTACGTAGGTCTGTTAAGGGGATCAGTAGCATCAGTCAGTGGAGGGAGGTCACTGCGTCCTCCTGTATGTGAGGTACTAGCAGACTTCACGTGTCCTTTGGGCCTGGCAGAACTTGAGCTGGGGGTTGAAGGTTTACTGTCTGTGATGCTACTTGTGTTAGTCAAATGCCTGAAATATCAACACAGCTTAATATTTATTCATTCCAAGGTGGTCATTAATATATATTCTGGTAATCTGTATAGTAGTTTTTGTATGAGTAAATGATTTGCTATGTAGTGTTAAATCAATAAATAAATAAATGTTAAATATGTAACAAATAAAGAAAGAGTATTATTTCCCATGCTGGCCTAAGAGCTTCATCAGGGTGATACCATAACTTATGCATAGGATTCTTCTTATGCCAAACAGTATTTCATTTTTTATTGACATCTACCAATCATAACTCTTCCTATAGGTTTTGTACAACATGACTATATTTCAATCAGAAACAATACAATACAATCTACTTCTGTGTTGCCATAGCGATTAAGATAACACTTGGATTTATACCTGCAACATCCACACTAGTCACAAAATGTATAAACAGCTATTAAAAAGAAATTTGTATGCTCAAATTATGGATGGTATATCAGAATTCCTAAACAAATTATCATATGATTTGAATCTTATTTTTCTGAGGTAGGGATATGTAAAAGGTAGGTAGATGATATATAAAGCACCTATCACCGGCATGCCATCTTTATTCAAAAAGGGAGAAAATAAAAGTTCATTTGCGATAATATATTCAATTTCTTAGGTGTTACATGTTAATGTTCTAAAAGGCACGCCACACAGATTTGTATTTCAAAGAATTATTAGCTTAGAATCTAAACAGTATCTAAGATGAGATCAAGGATTATTTACACTAATTGGTTATTCTAAACACATTTGTATCTAAGTGGGTCTAAACCAGCACTACAAAAAACTTTTTTTTAAAAATTGAGAATTGCAAGTCTGGAAAATACACATGTAAAAGATGCTCAATGAGGAAAGAGAATTGTGGATGCAAACAGTAAAATCTCAATGAAAAGTGATTTTAAGATATTGGCAAAAGTACAGTCAACCTAGAACAAAATTACTCAATCTGCAATATGTTAGTAAAGAGGCACCCCAATACATTGTTAGTATATTCCGTACATTGGTGAGACACCCTAGAATAAAATAGCTCATAATGATCATGCTTTCAATGAGAGTTTTTCGCTAATCAGCTATTTGAAATGACAATGAGAAAATGCCATACAAGTTTCTGAATTAGGTTTCATTTGATGCATCTCTAAAGCAGACATCGAAAAATGTTTTTACCCAATTGTAAAGCACAAATATGATCACTATGAGTGTTTATTGTAAGGTAGCACCATGTATCTTAAGATGAAGGACATTTACGTAGGAAGGGTTCTACAAGGCCATACCAATACATGTAATAACAACAACACATTCCATCTCTATGACGATTGATGAAACACATTCTAAAATCATCAGTTATTTACTATGACATCATCAAACAGGTGGAATTTGTTGAGATTACATGACAACCACCAGCCAGCAATTAGCCTGTTTACCTGGGGATACGAAAACTGCCCGCTGTACGTTGAAATCTAGAAACCAAATATTAATCTCCATGACAACCGCAAAAAGCTCAAGGTATTCTATATGCTTATTTTGGGAGTTACAAAGTACAGTACAGTACATGGAAATAAGAAACAACAACTTTAATTCGATAAAAAAATGAAAAAAATCAACAAAGCATGCAAACATCGATTGAAAACACAGGACTGCTTCACATTTATGGAAAATAAGGTAAACAAATCAACCAAATTAAACAACAAAGCATGTTTAATTGAAGCTGCAAGTAAATAGGGTGTAAGCTGTAATCACTGAGGTGCAAACATATATGATATTCTAACTGATGAAAAAAAATCATGTTTGAAAAAAATTTATTTATTGAAATCATGTTTGGCATGCTGTGTTCTTGTTTAGTAAAATGCTTTCAAGTTAACTTGTTACAAGGGGTATCACTACAGATAAAAATAATAACGAAGTTGACTCATTCAAACAACCAAAAACTTACGGTGGTCGTATTTCTTGGCCGTTAGGAGTTCCGCTATGTGACGGTTTATTTGATGAGGGTAAAGATTTCTCATTACTTGAGGTCCTGTTGTCACCCACGCCAAAAGTATTTCTTCGTGAGATACCCCGATTTGTCGTAGATTTCTTAGGAATTGCTGACCTGTCGCTTTCTGTTGAAGGAACCTATATTTGATAGAAAGAACTTTATTAAATTTATGCATTTGGAATGTTTCCAGAATGTTCTTTTTCACCATATATGGTCATGTTTCAGCTCTTTCTGTCATAAGGTCAGACAAAACTGAAGTCACCATAATAAGAATAGCCCCATTCCGAAAAATTCAAAATGACCAACTTTCACATCATGATTTTTTTCAATTTGAAAGTGTTTAAATTGTGTTTCAGTCAACGCCTAGACAGTTACAAGCAATAAACAATTGAGTTCAATAAGGTTTAATCAAAAATTGATTTTGTGAAATAATCATGGAAATGTTCACTTACGGGTGACTCCATTCCTGCAGGTTTATTGATGCTACGTGACTTGAGTGCATTCTCCTTTGAAGAGCTCTCTATGGCATTCGGCTGGCGACTACGCTGATACGATGATTGGCTACGTGAATCAGTACTCCCCACTGGAGAGGGAAAGCAATGCAACATTAGCAGAAGGATAAGAGAATCTTACCAAAATGCATGAGAGAGTTATCTCCCTATTTATACAGGGTGACCAAAAACAGAACACACATATGTTTGAATAAAAGTTGTGGTTTCTGATTTTTGGGTCACCCTGTATTTTTATTACAATTTAATGATGGCACTGGAGGATCACAAACTGCAAAATAATCAAACAACATTGACAACATGTACAATAAGGGTGAATATTTTAACTTATGATTCAGAACCTACCCTGAAATTCTGCTCACAATGCTTTTTACAGTGACATAGAGCAAGCTGGGACCCGTTTTTGTACCTTTCTTACTAACGAACGTTCGTAAATCCATTGTTTAATTTGCGAATTTAACAAAGATGCATTTTCGTAAGATTTTGTAAGTTACGAACGATTCGTAAATTTACGAAAATAGTGACGTCATGCCTGTTTTCGTTCGTAGATTTAATACCACCTCTGACCCTTTCGTAACTTTGCGAATGGCCTCTTATTTATTCATTTATATTGTGATTTATGACGTTTTGTCATTCTAAATCAGAGAACACAAAGGGCAACACCGTTATCAACGTATTGTCAACCTATTTCTATATCTATTTTAGTACTTTTCATGGAATCTTTACTTTTATAAAGTTCTTATTGTATGACTTTGGTTTTATTATTTTGATCAACCCTGTTTGTTGTACTATCTGTCCTGACAACTGTGGAATATGACGTCAACCTATTCGTAAATCTTACTCTCAACAATTGGAAAGTTACGAATGACTTACGAAAGCGTACAAAAATGATCCATTCGCAACTTTACAAATTCGTAACTCATTCGTAACTTTTTAAATATTTACGAATTTACGAATTGCGAACGTTCGTTACTACGAACGGTACAAAAACGGGGCCCTGGTTATCAGTTTATAACAAGAACTTGCTTCAATTAAAGGAAAATGCAGAATTTTCAGTTCCTCTTCCAAAAATTTTGTTCAACATGTGAGGTGTCTCATAAGGGCGACCCCTAATGTACAATTGAACATATATGTAAGTACATGTATATATAGGGTATATAGACTTGCACTAAAACAAGAAGGTGATCTTCAATCAGGTGGAAATCAGATATATTGGTCGCAAGCACTGCTGCATAATGTAATAAAAACAATGTACCTGATGGATAAAGAAATGACTTTAATAATCATGTAAAATTTAACACAATGATTATAAGCAAATTGAAACATTCAGACATGACAGTTGACAATACAAGTACATATTCAAAACATTAATCATAACAATAGGTCGTTTAAGATCAAACAAGAACAGAACTGCACCAAAATACCAATACCAAATTATCAAAATGCATAAAAGTTCAGTTTAGTTCCAAAGATGCATTTATTATGGGTACATTGATTCTTATTCAATATTTGTTTATTTTGATGATTTTTTATTATCAAATACTGTTTTTACAAATAATGTATCAACATTAGTAGATTAAAGATGCAGTTTTAAAGTCATCAAAATATAGTTCATGTGAGTACTTATGTTGAAACAAAAATATTCCAATGTGCCATTTAGCATGTTATAAGTTTTCAAAATAAAGTATTAAAAAAATCATAAGTTACAAGTACCATGCTTGAAGAAATTTTAAATAGAATATCGGCCTGTAGATTTTTTATAACTACATTTGTATTTTGATTTTAATGTGATAGCACATGCTGGCAATGTTTTTTATATTTTCATGCTGGCAATGTTATCTATTGAAAGACTTCAAATATTTTGAAAAACATAAATGTGAAAATATAGATATAATTCTTGGAAATACTATACTGTAATAATAAAAGTCTGAATGATAATTATAAATTGCTGATTCCACCACTGTTATGAAAATGGAAATGCAACTGCGTAACAGCATGTAAATAATGCAACAGCATGAATCAAAATGCAGCAGCATGTAATAGAACAGCATGAACAATACAACAGCATGTAATATGAAGCTATGGCAGCATTAATAATGCTAACTGCATGAGCACTCCTTTCAAAAATGTCAGCAAAAATCAAATATTCCATTTTAATTAAGAACATTAAGGATCACAGCTGGTAGGGGTATTCTCCCTGAATGGTCGAATGAACTCGTGATATGATTTATTTACACTAACCAGCTGGCCACCTTAAAGCAATAACAAACTGGATTTTGTGCATGTAAGTATCATTCCCTTAATTGGATATTACACAACACTATGACTGATGCGACATTTAAGAAAAGAAAAATGAAGAATGGTGGAGTCGGTTGGTTGGTACCTACGTCTAATTGCACTAACAGGGAACACTAAAATAAAACACATATCAACAATCAACCAATATCATAAATCAAGGGGCCACAATCAATGAGGGGTCATTTCAATAATAAACTACAGGAAATAAGAATTAAATCGGTTGTAAAGAATATCATGAGATGACCCTATAAACACATGTATGAGGATTGAAGAAATGGCTTGGATGCATATAACTCTAATAGCAATTACAATAAAATTGATTCAACAAATGATTTCTAAACTGGCATGAGTTTCCGTTCATTTTCTTTTCATGAGCATAACATATTGAAAAAATATTGTGACGTATGTCTCCAATGTTTATGTATTATATTTCAAACATGTCATGTTTCTTTACTTTATTACTTTCTAAATGCTCTAGTATTGATTGCATCATGACATTTTTATTTTTCAAAAAATGCAGAACTGCCCATACCACTGAGAAATCAGTTGTTAAAGGTAAATATTTACAAGTCAACAATTTGTAATACTATGAAAAACGTTAAACTACAGATCTAGAAATGTCTATTATCGCCCAATAAATAGGTACATCATTCAAGGAGAGCCCAAAACACAATGCCCAAACAAAATCACAAAAGAATATTCATGCAAAATCAACCATTCCATCAACAATAAAGATTTCATGCTATACTGTCAATACAAACGCAATACTGTACTTAAAGAGGAATAATCTTATCAAAATTATGAAATTATACTGTCTACCTACTACCGAGATGCAGTTTAATGAATAAATAAGCAAATGAGCGAAAGTGCTAAAAAGTGATTCCTTCTAGAAATGGCAAGAGCCTTTAACTATGATTGGAAGTATCAATTAAAGGATGGGAATATGTTCAAAGGGAATACAACGACTAGACAAGTTGAGAGTAACATTCTAAAAAGTTGTCACAATTACACAAACGCAGAGGTTCTTTTTTCAATTCTAATGAATTTGGATGTTTCTGTGTCTAGAATCTTCAATAATGTCCATTTTTGATAATATATCTTGATTTTCTTTCCAGAAAATAAAAGTACTATTTCAAAGGGAACATTAGCATGCATTTTGAAAAGTATACTATGGACAATTTTCTTTCTGCTCTTTCCTGCCACTTTAACTGTTGGTAGCCTAATATGCAAGATTAACATCTCCAAATGGAGTTCTCTCAGTTCACCAGTAGATGACACAGATACCATCTAATCAACTTTTTGATAGGGAAGTTCCCCTTTTATTGAAACTAAAAGGAACTAAAAGAAACTAAAAGAATTTATTTTCCCAATTCAAATGAAATTAATGATTTCTCAGCTTCATTTATTGCAACTATTAAAATGTAATGATTTACTATAGCAGTCAAACTATGAGAGGAGTAATACTGAGACCCAAATATACAAGAAAATACATGCATCTACCTCTATATGTATAGCATTTATTATAAACCTTAACAAAAATATAACCTACCACCAAACAACAGAAAATACTAACAAAAATAATGCGAGAGCTATGAAGTACTACAGGGATGTGATTGTACAGTACTATAGTCCAGAAAAAACGTTTTAAATAACTTTATACCAATTTGGATCTTAGTAAGGTTTTAATTGTCAGAGAACAAGATTTGATATTTTTTGAATATCTCAAAAATCAGTGATCACATCCCTGTTAAAGTGCTTAAGACTATACTTAACTGATACAACTGACTAATGTAACAATTTGGCGAGGACCTTTGCTACCCAGCACCTAGCTGTCTCAAGGGTCAACAAAATTAGCTCTGGATTGCATCTTATCATTAAGGATTCACAACATTGTCATTCTAATATGAAATCAAAGATCACACTCAAAAACTCAAACTCAAAAACAGCAAAATTTTGCATATCAAAATCAACCAAAAACCAGGAAAGTATATTAAAGAATAAATATCACAAAAATCACCCCCTCGCCCCCCTCGAACTTCCCGCCCCACCCCTGGGTCATGGAATCTCCTAGAAGTCAGTGTGGGTCAGCCTAAGTCTCTCACCTCTCCGGTTTCCTGGGGTTTTACCTGCATTGTTTTCATTTACAGGCTGACTATGTCTGCGGCCTTTAGGATTGGTGGCGGAGATACTGCGTTGGACCTTGGAGCTAGGATGAGCAGGTGACGTGGTCGAGTTGGCATTGAGCTCACTGTTCTGCCGATGTGAGAGTTGCATTTGCTTCAATGAGAGGTTACTACTAGATCTGTCACTGCCATCAAGCTGAAAAATATACATTAAGATATGTGAAACTATCAAGACTGCTATTGGCCATCAAGCTGAAAAACAGACATTATATAAGATATGTGAAACTATCAAGACTGCTATTGACAAGACATTATAAAACAGTTGAAACAATGGAGCAGTTTATGTGTAAGATGGTGGAAATTATGTTACACATTTACAATGACAATGATACACGAACAATCAGCCATCAAAAATATTTGACAGAATCGAGACAATATGTAAAACCATAGATCCCGGCCAGATTCTTTTGCTGTAGGATCAGTAGCTCAATAAATATTCTTCAAGATGAGACAACAAAAAAATTTCAAAATTTTAAAATAACGATTGTGCAGCCATTTCTGAAAAATATGAGACAAATTATACCTCATTCGAAGTGTCTTGTTATTCTTTAACTTTTTTTATCACAAATGAACGTTATTCAAGCAAAACTGCTTTGATAAGAGGCCAAAACAGTGGTTTTATCAGTAAGCTCTTGTTTGTCCAAATCTGAATGGTGCTCCTGTGATTCCAGAAATGTGACATCAGAATTACAATGATATTTGGACACACAAGAGCCCGGATCAAGTGAAAAATATTTGCCGTGTTAAAAATCAAAGTACTGCGTCCATAGGTTACTTACTCAAACCAAACAAGTAGAAATAGAAAGATAAAGATCTCAGCTATAAATTAAGTGCAAAATCTGTCGCGGGGAAGCAGGTACCATTTTGTATGAGGAACATTTTGAAAGGTGGTTACTTTTTTTGAAATTTTCTAATTTGGTGTCTCATTTTCTGAATTATTCTTTGAGCCTATGAGATCCTACTACAAAACGATCTGGCCAACATCTATGTGTAAAACGATCAAATGTGAAACATTTTAGGATATGGGAATGAAACAAGACAATACAATATGAAACAATAAGCGGACATGTGGTATAATCACAATAAAGCCATCCAGGTTTTACATAGACACAAACTACATGAAAATAGTTCCTACTTACAACGAAAAGAACTAATCAACATCTAATCTCACTAGGACTTAACATAGTTTAGCATATATTTCTAAGGAGAAAAAGCTGTAGATCAACGACTACAATATACATACATTTCCATTCCTTACCCCTGAATTCTTGCGTCCTAGTAAGAGATATGTAGCTGTGACATCATCATATGCATTGCTGTTCAATGAGTCCTCCACTTCTTTTTTACTATACCCCATATTAAGCATTATTTCTGAAAGAGAGCAGAAATATATAATCTTGATTTTAGATATTCTACATTAGCTACATAACATAGGATTCATGCTATTCTAAATCAATGTAAAAAATCTCTTATGATTCCGGTGTTATGCTTTCTTTCATACAAAAGAGAAAACGTTCTTAAAAATTTTTTATAGTATATATGCATCCCATGTACAATAGGGAATCACTGAGTTAAATAGTAAATGAGCAGGTCTATAAAAGATTATGTTTCTTCAAGGGGAATTTACAGATGAAGTGGGTATGACACCAACAACATATACTAGATTACTAGATACCAGTCCTTGTACACTGCACAAACACAAGATACCTATGAGTTCATTCTCGAATTCCTTCGGAGGCTCCTTATATGGTCTAAGCTCTGCGTCTTCATGGCCAATATTCATCCAGCGGTCTCTCATTACATTCTATACAAAACACAACAGCCAATCAGTGTTGCTGATGGGGAGATATGGAAGGTAAGATAAAATCGCCAGTGTGTTATTTTCAATGCCCATATATGGTATTGTTAAACTCGTTCTTCAAAATCTGAATAAACAGATCCTGTATAGAATATTCATGTATACTGTACCATAAATGGCATCTTTTTCCACTATACTGTGGCATACTTGACATCAGGGCCAAAATGAAATTATGAATATTCTTTTTTAAAGGCATGACCAAATGGGTCTGAAATCACTGGCTAATATCTGACCTTCCATATATGGCATGACGATGTTTTGGGTCTAATTACCTATTCGCACTGAGTCGTTAAAATCTGGTGTGGGTTCTATAAAAGGCCTTAAGTCGTCGTCTTCGTACCCTATATTCATCCACTTGTCCTTCATGATGTTCTAATAGGGAAACACAGAGAAAAGCACATTGTTAATCAAAACCAAAAACAGGAGGTGTATTAGTCCCAGGTGCCCAACATGATCAGCCAATCACATGCAGCTAACATTAAGCTGAGAGCACATAATGATGGGAGTTATAAACCCCCTTTGAACAGTGAACAGACATAATTCAATTTTAATGATTAAGTGGGTGCATCCATACTTTAAATATTTTTAGACAAAACTGTGCAGATATTCAGAATGGATGACACCATAACAACAAACAATCAGTGACAAATTAGTTGTGTCAACATTAAAAACCCTCTATGATAATGACAGGGGTAATGATTGGACATAGCTAAATAGTTCATGAGGTGATATTACCCAAGACCTCTACGTTAAGGCTCTGTTTTACTCTGTTTCTAAGAGCGAAAATTTAAATCAACCAACAGCTCTAGCTCAAAAGATTATAGTTATAGAGTTTAATCAAATATATAAATGTAATTCATGCATATATCTCAAGTAGAGAAAATGACTGATGATTGCAATGAATAAGCAGGTTAAGCTACAAATGATAAGAGACTGTTGAGATACCAGTCTTGACGCTTTACCAATGTGAATCTAGGTGATATTTTAAGGGCCATGTGCCAAATAAAAAAAATCAAATAAATTCTTTAAGACCATTTCCCCAATAACATGATTCTAGCAATGTATTAAAAGCCATTTTGCCCAATATAAATCTTGCCAACATTTTAAGGCCATATGCCATGCTTTGATCATATACTATAAGAGCATTAAGAGGGTTAAATTCTCCATACCCGACAAACATCGTGAAAGTGCATATTAAAACAACTGAGATTATTTTCAAAACTCATATTTTCAACATCGTTAGAGGTGCTCCAGAAATGCAATGCTGTTATCAATATACATGTATGTAATCTCCAATCTGTTGAATTAATATGTAAAATGTGACTATTGTTAGATAAGGCCAAGTGGATGGATGTTCTTAGCAGATCCCTGGTTGGTTCTTCTATCCAACAGTCCCACAGTTTCATATTTATAGCAAATTCATTACAAGGCATTAATATGCAATATGTCACCATCTGCCAATTGTTACAGATGCCGAAATGTGACAGCTGAACTGCAACTGCCAAACACCAGGCACAAAAGTTGACGGAACTGCAACTGCCAAACACCAGGCACAAAAGTTGACCGAACTGCAACTGCCAAACACCAGGCACAAAAGTTGACGATTATAACAATAAATCACCACTTCTGGTGGTGGTGACATAAAAATGACATACCATGTAAGAAATATAAAATATGTTTGACTAGAAAATTACAATGAGATATCTAGACCCCCTACATTTAAATAATCTTGAGTTAAAAATATTTTGCTTGTCAGGATTTAGTTTTTTCTTCACATTCATACTATACTTACTTCTAAAGCGCTTCTTTTTGCTGGATTTAAAACTAGAAACTTTTTAAGTAAATTTTCACAGTCTGTTGACATGTAGAAGGGTATTCTGTATTTTCCCCTGAGGACTCTTTCTCTTAATTCCTGAAAAACAAACTCTGCAAATGAGTACTGCAATAGTATCTTTATGAAATACTACAATATTCTAATGCTAAGCATTCTTGTATTATGTCATGTTGATTTTGACAAGAGAAATACCCCACGTGGCAGAAAATAAATACAGTAAAATCTGTCTTAATGAACACCTTTTTCCAGAGAACACCTGTGTCTAGTGAACACCTCTTCACAGCACATACTACACTGACTTCTGTATAAAATCACCTCGCTGTATTGAACACCTAACCATAGTAAACACACTTTTGTTGCTCCATAGGTGTTCACTGTACACAAGTTTTACTATAGTTTGAAATACATTATAGTGTTTTGTTTACTTTACCTTTAAGTTTTGTCCATCAAAAGGGAGTGAACCGCTGACTAGAGTGTATAAAATTACACCTAAACTCCAGACATCCACTTCGGGACCGTCATATTTTTTACCTATAAAAATTAACATATTATGGATATATGGAAATGAATCATGTAAAAAAAAGTAGAAAAGCCCAAACATCTCCAAAAGTTGACAAGGGAAATGGCTTCAAACAGAAATATAACACAAATAAAAATAATTTCCAACAGAATTTTAATAAAACTTTTACGAAAAAAATCAACATGGACAGCGCACCATATATTTTGTCAACATATAAAAACCATAAACCTAATGAGAGCACAGCTTATAAAATCAGGTACAATTGCCATGCCGCCAATATGTTCAAACGTTGATCACAACCATTTACATTCTAATATTACTTCATTACATGCACAAGAATTACAAAATTGGTACATCTAATAGATGAAAATACATTTTGTACAAATACAACATCCAATAAGTCAATAACAGGCACCAGTTAATATTTTCTATTATAATCAAATGACATTCTATACATCAAGTAGTATCAATTTGATTGCCTTTATTAGATAACATGTAATTCTTTGACATATGAAAATGTAAATAACCAATTAACTTGATTGGCAAAGATCTCTTTAGTTATAAACTGTTATTAATGACATTTGATTTCCGGGAAGGCTGTGATCATTTAGATACAGTGATCGCAATTTAATATCAGACATTCACCCATAGCTCAAAAAATAATTAACTTTTTCAAGTAACAAATATTTGTTTGAACTGTTTAGTGTTCAAGGATAAATATTGGATAATCATATAGGCGACATCTATTACTCTGAATATATTCAAACAATGGAAACCTAAAGACTCAGTCACATTTGCTCTACAGTGGGCATACGGCAGCCGTAGCTACAAAAAATTGATATAGGAAATCTACATTGTACTGCTAATCCATATATTTTATGCTGCATATTTCTTTCGAATTTTGAGAAGCTCCGGCTGCAGTATGGTTGCCATAGATCAAATGTGACTGAGGCAAAAGACTATGAGGGCTGCCACAGAATGGGGCAAGGTCTTGCTGCCACTTACCTTGGAATAACTCTGGTGCAGCGTATGGAGGACTGCCACAGAATGTGTCTAGTTTGCTGCCAGGAGTGAACTCATTGCTAAACCCAAAGTCAGCTATTTTTATATTCATGTCACCATCTAGTAGTAAATTTTCAGCCTGGAAATAATACAAACCTTTAGTTGACGCAGTGTATAATTATAATTTGTTAAAATATGGTGGAATTATTTTACACCTGTTAGAAACACACAGATGAAAAGGAACTTTTGTCATCTTATGAAAAGTAGAGGTCTTGGGTTCAAACCCAGGTCACAGCACTTCTTGTGATTTGTCTTTGACCTATGACTACTGACCTATACTGGCGATTACTAGAGTGCTGCTAACTCGATAAAAGGCTGGCGCTGGCTAGAATTGTCTATGGTTCTAGCCAGGATAAAGATACCAGTTCTTCAACTCGACAATGGGAAGAAGTCTGAAAAGCAGGAAGTCTGGCTTCAAGCTGAAAAGTAGAGGTCTTGGGTTCAAACCCAGGTCACAGCACTTCTTGTGATTTGTCTTTGACCTATGACTGCTGACCTATACTGGCAATTACTAGAGTGCTGCTAACTCGATAAAAGGCTGGCGCTGGCTAGAATTGTCTATGGTTCTAGCCAGGATAAAGATACCAGTTCTTCAACTCGACAATGGGAAGAACTGCTCTACCTAAGTGACTAATATGTCATGATATGACATCTAAAGAGTCGATAAAAGATATATATCTATGGATTATTGCAAATAGGTCATTACTCTAGAGGGTCTAAAGCTAAAGTTTTCAAAATTCAACACTTGATTAAAAAAGAAAACCAATACCATCTTAAGATGCATTAGACATTGACTGTTGAAACATGAATCTTTTTCATTCACGATACTGTCCCTTTTCAATAATTTTACATGTTGTTTTAATTTGTTTTGCCTGCTGTAAGAAATTCTTATGAAATTTTTCATCTATTCCAGGACTCTGAAGGTGTTATTCTCACCTTTAAATCTCTATGTACAATGTGTTTTTGGTGACAATACTGCACTGAAGAAACAATCTGAAAGAAAAACAGTAAGCAATGATTAATGTAAGGTATGTGAATAATATGCAATGATCACATTTAGAAGATTTCATACTTCACATCAAATAATACTCAACATTGTTTTATAATGAATAATTTAGTTGCAATTTATCTGAAATAATAGATTATCACAAAGCAATGATATCTCATTATCTCATATGAAGAATTGCTACACTTTATTGGATTTTTTTTGGAATTCTTCATACAAGAATTTAGACCAGTTTAATACATTATGTATTATTCCATGGTACAGGTTACTCCAGCTTCTTCATTAGGGTGGTCTGAAATTATGGCGAAAACCCAACTTTGTTTTGGATCATCTTCTTCAATCGACTTATTGTTGACTATGACCTAAAAAACCTATGAGACAAATTGTGAGACCCAAATCCCATGGCAAATTAAACCACACTTGACTAAAAACGTGTGATTTTTGATACTGAAATTAGACTAAGCTGTGTCTTTAGGAAGACTCATTTAAAAACATTTGCTGTTTTTACAGCTTCGTATGCCAAGTAAAGCAAACAGAGAGTAAAACAATATACAGAACAGGTAAATATTTGTAATATATTCATAACCTTGCCAAATAAGGGTGCCTTGATATTAGGCATTAGCACAGTGGGGAAAATTAACTCTGTTGATGTTTTTCATACAGATATAAATTAACAATATTAAAAAATGTCAATTTACAATCGGAACAATAAATTAGCTAGCATTCTAACAATAATTCAACAAAACATCATTTGAAGTTTCTGATTTGATATGTTCCAATCATTTTCATGGCCACATTCATACTTGGGCTTCACATCAAAAAGAAATTTTCCACAAATTACAGGTAATATACAGTATACAACCTTTAATAGCTCTACTTATTGAATCTCATGTGAAAACCGCATGTCCAATATGACTTTGAAACTATAACTTAATAGAAAGAGATAAGACTATCAAAACACATGTCTATGGATATTTTTGTTCTATTATCTAAGCTGTCTCATCTTAACATATGTATTGTACAATGAACTTTGTCAATCTAAAACACAGAATCGCTGTTTAACAAGTACATTGATATAAACAGTAAACTTTGATCATTTTCACTGTCAGTCAGATCAGGTGAATAGCAATTACTGTTGACTGCCATCAAGGATTTTAATATTTTCCCATTGGATTATATTAGAGCATTTGTCTGTGGAATTGTCCCTCCGTTATAAAATTTGTTTAATGTTTTGTCAGGCCAGTTTGTGTTCCTTCATTCATGTATCTAGCTTTCTAAACATCTTTGTTTTCGAATATGATTCAATAAAAAAATCAAGGTTAACCTTTATCTTTAAAGATAACAATAATGTAACAAGATGAATTATTGGAATAGTCTCAAACATATTAGATTCATGAAAACACATTTTTCATAGCTATCAATTTTATTTATAGGTTCAATTCATCTCAATGCACACTGACTAAATCCCTTCATTTTTATATTTACGAATTAAGGTTCAATTGAACTATAGATAACACAATACTTGGATATCTACTTGATACAATATAACCTTGATCTTGTCTTTAATACTTTTTACCTGGCTTGCTAGACATCTAAATTATGCATTGTATGTACAATGTTATATTTTTGCATATGTAAGCAAACTTATAAATTCAGAAGAACTGTATTATAGCATTGTATATTATAAAACAGCTGTAGATGACTTTTACATTGAATCAGTTCACGATATATCTGTATGACAAAATGTTTTTGTTCAAATTATAACTGGCATCTTGAAAATGTATACTGTAATGTAGAGACAGACACGAAACCCAATGTTATGATACTGCTCAGGGTTCACTGGATGTATATCTGATATGGCGACTTTAATAAGAACAAACACAGGAATAAGCTCTGAATACAGTCTCTGCATTAGTGAGCCATGATTTTAATATCACTCTAGACTAGTCTTTATTCAACCTTATTTCTCTTTTTACCTATAACTATCCTGATTTATTGACTTAACAAGTTGCAAGTGATATACCAGCTACTTACACGGACATCCTTTCAGAGGACCATCATTTCAGAGGACCCTCATTTCAGAGGACCCTCATTTCAAGAGGACCCTTATTTCAAGAGGACCATCATTTCAGAGGACCCTCATTTCAAGAGGACCCTTATTTCAAGAGGACCATCATTTCAGAGGATCCTCATTTCAAGAGGACCATCATTTCAGAGGACCCTCATTTCAGAGGACCCTCATTTCAAGAGGACCCTCATTCCTAGAGTTCATTCTTTTATATATTAAAACTTAGCTTCCCAATAAATGAAAACACTTGAATAACAATCATTTCGGTACAAAATACTTGACAAGTCATAGTTCCCAGAAAGAAATATATACACTAATTGATTTTGAAAGTAACCTAAGTTGATTCTCAGAAGAATAACAAATACAAAACCATCAATGTCAACGTGACATTTTATGATATAAGTAATCCTTTCAAAAACATCATTCAATTTGTTCAATTTTCCTCAAAAAGACAAATTCATTGTGCATGAGTGTTACTTCGACCTATAATGCAGGAACTATACCATTGTATATTCAATAGTTTGCGTTTGTTATTTCTTTTATTCGAGAGGAAATAGTGACATCTTGTCTTGTCTAAGATGTACACTGATGGCAATTCAACACAGTTCTGTTCAAATAGCCTATTTTAAAGGTCAAAACCATGCTTGTAGATTTGATCACCGTATTGCATAGTTAAAGAATTTCTAATGTTTTGAAACTTAAAACACTTCTTAATCTTTTATTACTCAAATGATGTGGTGTATAAACTAAACATTCAAGGTTCCCAAGATCACATTTGCCACTGAGGATAAGTACTAAATTCTCATTGGTTGAATAGTGTCACATGATACAGTCCTAGGGACTTTGAGTTACCCTCCTTTGTTTTACCTATGCTTACCTGTCTAAATTTGGACCTAGCTTCTTTTTCTTTCATTCTACCATGAGCTACTAAGTAGTCAAAGACTTCCCCTGAAAGTAAAAAACCATACACTGTCAGGAAATGTCTGATATCTTTAAAAGCATTATCTAAGCATATATAAGCATTTTGTATAAACTGTTTTAAGATTTTGCCAACAGTAAAATCCCAACTTTTCAATGACAACATTTATGGAGTTACGTAGATTTATTTGACTCAACTTGTAACAATTACAAAGTATGCCTCATTAGCAGTGGCAGAAATTAGATTCTGACTCATCTTTAAACGAGCTTATACATCGTCGCGTGAGAATAACTTTGTACTAACTGCCATTTTCAAAAAAATTGAGATAGACATAAAATTTTACTACTTGAAACACAGGCTTTCATCTCAGATACATGCCCCATCTCAATTCCCTCTCATTAAGCTAGAATTCAGTGTGAAATTGTACCATCTCCAGACAAACAGCTTATTTCTAATTTCAAATTGTCATATCTGATATCAACTGTTTCAACCAATCAACTCTCTAAGAATTGGTCATGTGACTTGCAAAACTTGGAGTTATAACAATCTTATATTAAAACGAAGTATGCCAATATGCATGTTATTGTATCTAGAATGAAATAATGTTTTGTAACACAATACCATGCCAGTTTGCATGCCTGGCCTTTCATGTTTTAGTTTTAGAACTATTACAAGTAGATCAAAAAAATAAAATGATACAGTATGTGTAATCCCATGCAAATTCAAAGTATATGCCCTCAATTACTCTTTGTATTATGGATGCTCATTGGATTATTCATGGCCACATGATATGAAATAGAATTACTAATTTCCTCGAAAACCTAAATCCTAGCTACCAGGGAAGATGAAAAGTACAAATGACCAGTTAATTAGATCATGTGAGCAGTCAAAAGTACCCTTTATCTTCCCTGCTACAAGGTCTTATAGGGGTGTGAATGGCCAAATGCAATAAAAATGCATATACGAAGCTGTCATCATTAAATGTTGAAAACGAAAGACTACTTATTTGTTTCTTCAAATAGAGTACATAATAATAGGTTATATACTAGATATACAAGTAGTAATCAAAACAAATAGTAACTGTCATATTTTGCACTACATTGCTCAAAGGCAATCACTGTCTGTATACTATTGAAATCTCTTTCAAAATGATGTTTTATAGTTTGTGGAAAAAAGCTAAATCTATTTAAACTAGCTTTAACTTTTACTGACCATACACTATATCAATAAGGAGTTATCTTTATGTTAGTATAGTCCCTTAAAACACTTATTTTATTTTCTCTTCATCTATGATTTACTTTGCGCTTTTCACTGAACATCTGGGATCTTTTTAGTTATTTTATTACTAGTATGTTTTTCAGATTTGTCCTTTCTTTTGCATTTTTGGGATCATTGTTTTTAGATCATCTACATTTTATTTTGGAAAAGTAACAAATTGGTTCAATTTCTTTACAAAGAGCCACTCTTAGTCTCCACTTCTACAATTGCTTCAATTCCCAATTGTACTCCACAGAGTAGCAAACAACAGAAAATGAATGGATAATGATAGCTGCATCCCAATGAACAAAATGTGATTACCTAAATCGAGGTTTCATCACTTTCATTAATCTAAAATGAATTAGAAATTATTTTTCTATTTTCAAATTTCTTCCATGTGCATGTAATAAAAATTGGTTATGTCTTAGGCCCTAAGGATCTGAAACCTGCTGGTCAAAATGGAATTACGGACCAGTTGCAATGTTATTCTCCTATACCCAGTGAAAAAATCAACTGGTCTGTATCAAAAATAACCTGATAATGACCAGCGGACCGGCCCTTAGGGGCTACATTGTAATGTGCTGGGAGGTTTAGGCTACAGGGTTTATACCAAGGGAAATATGTGGGGGACCATATTGGCATCATTGGTTTCAATGCATTGTACTTCTGCCTTAGTTTCAAAGGCAATAAATTCTTTTTGAAGGGTGTCCTGAGATTCCAAAATTAAGAAATAATTGTACTTATTTGAGAAATTGATTTTAAAGTTTTATAAATTGAATTTTCTTTATTTTATTAAATAATATTCTTTGGTTTTTGAAGATCTTTTTACAAAGCAAAACATTATTTTTCATTCTAGATACAATAACATGCATATTGGCATACTTTGTTTTAATATAAGATTGATATAACTCCAAGTTTTGCAAGTCACATGACCAATTCTTAGAGAGTTGATTGGTTGAAACAGTTGATATCAGATATGACAATTTGAAATTAGAAATAAGCTGTTATTCCAGTGGAAAATTGTATCAACTCCATTTCCATAGTTTTAAAAAAGGATCTTGTAAATTGTTTCAAGGTATGATATTTCAAATAAGATATCTCTAGGGTGAGACCAGGTGACATACAAAAAATCAAGTTTCACATAGCAATACTAAGTAAGATACATACCTCTAAACTTTCAAACCTTGATTTCGCAGTTCCGTAAAAATGTGAGATAGTACAAAGTTATTCTCATGCGACGACATGTACTTGCATACTGAGTAAGAAGTTAGGTTTGAGAATACAATCAAATACACCTGTACCATGTAATGTTATGTTACATTATGAACTAATATTGCCATATGAATTATCATTCCATGCTGACTGACATACTCATCTAAGTCATTAGAATGGAATCTTTATACATGTGGATGATATACACTGCATTTAGTTTTGAGCAACTTTTGAGCAATCTTTTAAGTTGTCAATTGAACTTCTGATTGTGAACCCAAAATAATGTTTTATATCAAGATATTCAACTTACAGCGCTCAGGTTTATTGAAAAAGACAACAAAAAGACTAGTATTTTGAACCAGTCAGCCGGCATGGAGTACCACTGCGCTGATATCATAATGTAAAATTAATTTGTTATTTATATTTGGTTGTTTGACTGATATTGTCCTGAACCCCATCAGCTAGTGACACTTCCCTTGAGCTCTTACAAAGAGCATGCTAAAATGTATTTTCCTTTTCTAGAGTTTCATTTTGTATCTTTAAAAGAAAGCTTTATCTATGCCTTTCATCATGATGTTACACACAGTCAGTAAAACCTGTATATGTGCAGTATGCTCCCCAGGATTTTTTCTCAAGTGCATTCAGCATCTTAATTTGACAATTTAGACCAATTTTGCTCAAGTATGCTTATTTTCACTTCATAAAAGTGCAAATGTATCCTCAGGTAGGTACAAGCATTTTATCAAAATCTCAATTAGGTGCAATGCCCAATGCTTTAATCTGGGGAGATCCCTAATATGTAACACCTTTGGTACCACGAGGGAGGTGTTCTCCTTAGAGAGGTTAATTTTACAAGTCTGTGGGATATGGGAGATTCCTTTTAGTAGAAGGATTTTAACTAATATCTGGACTTACCTCCGCTGGCATATTCCATGACCAGATAGAGGGTCTTCTCTGTTTCTATAACCTCAAATAACTTTACTGCAAGCACAAGAAACATACAACTATTAAATACTTAAACATTCAAGTAAATCGAACTTTATTTATCACTTCCTCAATTAATCTGGGTTTAATATGATGGAATCAAGACAGCTGAAATATTAAATAAAATAAAATGAACAGCTGTTTGATAAAAAGTGTGTTTCATTCTAATAAGGGTTATATACCAAGAGGTTTTAAATACAGGGGTTATCCTTAGGAAATACGCAAGGAAGAAACACATATTTCCAGAGGGATAAACACCGTCCCTTAAACTGGTAATACAAATCTGATATATCTATGAAGGTTCATTCTCATTGTCTGATATTTTGAAATGCATAGGAAAAACATTGAGGTTTGTTGTGATAGAGGAACAGGACTGGGACTGATATTTCTGCAACCTACATGAATCAATGAGATGGCAGTATAGATACAGAGAGTATCCCTTCCACCTACAAGATATAATATAAATTCCATAATCATCTACACATACCCTCAGTAGAACTTGGATGGGGTAGTGAATTCTCAGTCCCAATAAATGCCCCAAATTCAGGCGATCCTTGCATGTATATAAATCAATGTGGGGTATTTTCTATTTATTTTCTACTCTGCCATTTAATATGGCTGTATATTAACTTACTATTGAAAGAGATAATGTTTTCATTAGGATGCCCAGGAATTATTAAAATCATACATTGATCTATGATAATTGAGTTTCAGCCCAGGAATAGTTTAACTTAATCAACTCATTTATTATTGGCCATTCAACGGCAACAGGTGCATATAGCAAGGCAAAATCATTTCATCTCTACTTCAACAAGGAAGCTACCTTATTTCCAATAAACTCCCTTACAAAATCAAGCAAAAGTGTGGGTTTTAATAACTACAGACAATATGATCAGATAGGCACAAAGAAATATATATGAAAAATATTTGAGAACCTAATCATTCCAGAAAAATGAGATTCAAAATACTTCCTGAAATCAACACGTAGGATACTGGAATAATAGTCCAAGGGATTCTATTAAAAGTCTATAGGTTTCCCAGTAGAAGTAATCAATAATCTGGCAATAGACTTATTGTATTCAGTACAGGCCTGGAGCAATATGCTGCAGCCAGTAATATACCAAGAATTTATATTACGGTACTATAGAGGTATAGGAGATTCAACATAGATCATTTATATACTGTCCCATATACCCCTCCCAAACCTGTAAATGACAGAACTTTCTGCATTCAAAATCAGTAAGACCCACTTTCACCAGAAAAAGTCATGACTATAACAGAAAAAACAAGCACGAGAGCAAAATAAACCCATGTAGCTGAATGTACCAAGCTGGGGTTATGACTCCAGGAGATCATGCCAAGATGGTGCTTAAACTAGGGGAGATGTCATGATCAAACATGTCAGGGATCAGATTTGACCTAAAGCCTATGTTGTTCATTTTCCCAATCATTCAAACATATTTTGGGATGTGCAAGGCCCAAAAGTCTTAATGATGATGTCTTAATATCTTAACTCTTGGATATCGCCGATATCCACTCATGGATAAAAATGGTATCCCTCTAAAATCATAGGATATCCTCTATATACCTTCATTCGACAATAAGATAATGAAAATCTCTGGAATTTGTGTATCATTCATTTTGGAAAAATGAGGGATAACTTAATGAAACCATTTGAATCAAGTTGAGGGATTAATGGAGTAAACTTCAACAAATGTGTGAATCTGACAGATGGACAAACAAATGAATGGACAGACACAAAAGCCCATACCTTGGTATTATAATAAAAATCACAATAAGAACTCTTAAATAGAAATAATAGGTCTCTTAGTCACTTACCTATATTGGGATGATCTAACATCTTCATTATTTTCACTTCTCTAAAGAGCTGAAAATAGAAAAATTCAATATACAATGGACATTATTTTCTTTATTTCCTGTATTTATTGAATGTAATCAAAATGAGTCAATTGACGTCAGCACATTTAATGATATAAAATCATACTTTTTCGTGATATAATAGTAGAATAGAAAACAAGTGTTAATTGGTCAGTTCTATTAATACATGTACATAGGCCAGTATGACTGGGCAAGTTGAGTTGTATTGAAATATATGAGCTATTATAAATAGTGAATTAAAATACATCAAAATATGTCTTAGTGAAACACCTTTTGTACCTCTTAAAGTGATCAAATTGGGATTACTTATAGAGGTCCATTTAACATATTGTCAGTTGGTCTTTGGACTAACAGAGGTACTGTATACGTGGTATTTAATCCGAGTGGTTAATTTTCCGAATGGTCAAATTTCATCATTTTCCTAATTTTAATTTTCCTAATGACAAGAAACCTCCCATTGGATAACATTATAAAGACAATATTTCCGACATTTAATTTTCCGAACCTGGCAAAAATTAGGAAATAGGCAAATTAAATGATTAGGCAAAATTACCACTTATACAGTATTCCACCTCTAGAGGTGTTCCACTTAACAGATTTCACTGTACAAGCCAGTTTGTGTCACTGTACAAGCCAGTTTGTGTCACTGTACAAGCCAGTTTGTGTCACTGTACAAGCCAGTTTGTGTCACTGTACAAGCCAGTTTATGTCACTGTACAAGCCAGTTTGTGTCACTGTACAAGCCAGTTTATGTCACTGTACAAGCCAGTTTGTGTCACTGTACAAGCCAGTTTGTGTCACTGTACAAGCCAGTTTGTGTCACTGTACAAGCCAGTTTATGTCACTGTACAAGCCAGTTTGTGTCACTGTACAAGCCAGTTTGTGTCACTGTACAAGCCAGTTTGTGTCACTGTACAAGCCAGTTTATGTCACTGTACAAGCCAGTTTATGTCACTGTACAAGCCAGTTTGTGTCACTGTACAAGCCAGTTTGTGTCACTGTACAAGCCAGTTGTGTAAAAGTGAGAAGTTTTACTGTACAGTAGATAGCTATCACTTGTGATTCATTCCTTAGAAGTTTCACTGTTTACAAGATCTTCTTTTATCATTGTTCATTCATATCATAGTGAGAGTGTACTATATAAGGTATGGCTATTGGTTGTGAATCATCGTACTATATGTACTCCCGAAGGTGAATTAAGGTGGTCGTTGATTTAATATTCAGTATTTGTTACATACACTATGCAAGCATATAGACATTGTATGAATGATATCTTTACATTATCAGATCAATGGATGAATGTGTACAAGAAGCATAAGACTTGACCTAAAGAATTTGTTCAAGACTGATAGTTCAGTGAAAACAAGATTGATTGGTCAGTATAACACCAGAGGTACATGTTCTGATATACAGTTAGGACAATTCTTCCTCGAGGAGACAATGGTATAGGTCATGTAAATAGAATCAAAAATCTGAATTAGACTTTTAACATGTAAAATACCTACATATACTTGTACTTGTAAGTTAACACACTGAGGTCATGAAAAAACTGTTTCAGTTATACCTTTATGAGGCCTAGCCACACAGGATGGATTAAACACCTCAAATGCAAACTTGGCAGCCACTAATATGAATGAGGGAGAATAATATAAACACTGACAAAGTCACTGTATATTAAATTATGACTAGGGTTCCCCATTATAATATTTCTTTGTTGTGACTAGCATTTATTGACCGACCACTGACCCATAAAACTGAGGACGAGGACTCATCAATATTATCTACCTTTACAAACAGTTTTAGGTAACTTAAACTTTTAAAATTGATTTTAGATTCCTAAAATATGATATTCTAATATTCCTGTTTCTATACAGATATTGTGGAAACATTAGTTATGATCTCATTTGTTATGGCAAACCTTCATATTGTTATCACCTAAAAAGATACCATAAAAACAAGGATATTTTATATGAGGGATATAGGATAATGGCCTAAAGGTTTTCTCTTATTCAAGAATCCCCTATTTCTGTATATATACAGTAAAACTTGTATATCTAAGCAATTAGCTAATCCGAACACCTTCCAATCTGAACAATTTTCTGTGAGTATAGAATGGTTTTCTTCAGTAGATGACATCATATTGAATCTCCCAGTTTTTTCTTACTGTATTTGTTTTGATTTGTTTGAATGACAGGTTACCAGAATAACATTCGTAAACAAATCTTATGCCATAACAAAGTTAAGAAATCTTGCAGAGTATCTTCACTCCCTAAAGTTTTCTCCCTTCAATCTCTTATACATGTATATACACGTACATTCATATATAGCAAAATACACATACAATTTTATCATTAATTAGTACTCTACTTAATTTATTTATGAAAATCTATTTATAATGCCTCTAAATATATACCTTTCATCAGGTTCAACTCTCTCATAGCCGATTCACCAGATTCCTGTTTTACAAAAACATTTGTACACATCTCCTCTTTGTTTTTAGTTTCTTTATTAATAGCCCCTTTTCAAAAATTACTTGAATTTTACCTATAAGCTTACCCAGAGGTTTAGCTTTTGAGTGCATGAAATTTAACATGGTTGATTTTCAATTTGATGACTTTTGAGCTCAAAATCATATATTTGTTCATACAGATATCGTTTTGGTTGCCTTACTCTGTGTAGCCTCATATCAACATCCCATGTTAATCCCTACCCCCCCCCTCAATTCTTCCTCTCAAACACAATACAGCAACTGATAGATATCGAAGAACCACAAAATTGATGCAATATTTTACTCTATGACACCAAGAACACATGTGAACATATAATAGCTGTAACAGGCTGCTTGTCAAACTATCCTGCCCAAGAAATGATGCACTTTCATGTGTTTCAAACAGTACAAAATCTAAAACCAGCAAGGAATACAGTTCACAGAATTACAGTTTGATGTATAAGCAAATTTGAGAAACTATGAAAATGTATTGAACAACCATGACTCCAGAGTAATATTTAAGCAAGAGGGGGTAAAAATATTGAACTTGAGGAAATTGCCATTTTTTGCTTATTATGACATCATCGTTGCAACATACTTCATATTTCATTTTTGTGACATAGACATTAACCTAGCTGTCATGTTCATGAGACAAGAATAGCCATTTTCTTCATATGTCATCTAACTAAATTATAACTGTGAATAGAAACACATTCTTAACTCATTGTATGTCAGCTACATCATTACCATTGGTTAACATGTACAAATTAAACACCATATGTAAGACTGTTGAACCACCATCTGATTTTATTCAACACAGGGGTGGTCGTATAGTTCAGCTGCTGGACTTGAAAAGACTAAAATGTTCAGTCTCAGTTGAGAGCCTAAATACATGTATTTTGTGAATTAACTCAGCTTTTTTGCAGATGGAATATTTGCATGCTAAATTCTACTTAACTACAGAGACAAATGACTGAAGCTAGTATGGATTTGTAGAACTAATTTGCTGATTAGTCAAAGATGCCAATATGGCAGGTTTCTTGCACCATATTGCAACAAATATCTCGCATCATTCAACAAAGCCATTGCTACTTTTAACAGATATACGACACTGTCTAACAAAAATTAGATTGTTCCTACATCATTATACTTTATCATAGACAGTCATACCTCCCATGGGGTGATATTAAAATTATCATCCTCATAATGATGCAATTCAAGTTCAGCAGAGATGACACTGCTGTAAACCCTGATATGTCCAGACTTAAGAAATGCCATCAATCCCACAACTTCATAGACACAACTCAAAAATCATATGTGTTGATTGGACAACTCAGGTCACATGACCAGAAAGAAAGTACAAATAGATCATGGAGAAGGTTAATTACACCATACTTTATTCCATTCATCTTAATAAACAAGATGCTCAGTACTTGAACATGATTTATAAATATATAACTGATTTGATGCATGCTACATGCAGCTGCATATAACAAGTACATCCAACAATATTCCTTTTAGTTTACATGTTACTCTAGTAGCTCATGCTGGTTGAGTATGCACTTCTATGTCCAGAGATTTTCTCTTCAGAAATCATCTATGTGAAGGTCATTGATCAATTTTGGCTTGGTAACATATTTGCCACAGAAGGCGAAATAGGTCAAATGGCCACGCCCTTTTTTACGCGAATACTCCCCCCCCCATTTTTGCATCTCCGGAACCGTTGGACATAGAAGGTTGTGTGACCACTCAAAATGTCCGGAATGGCCACATTATAGGGGGTCAATAATACATATGTATTTAAAAAAGCCAATGGTTCTCAAGATATTTGCCAAAAACTGATTTTAGAATGAAAACTCCACTACCTGTATTTTCTCATTGGTAAAGTATGAAATTTGATATGTCTTTTCATCCAGTGTAAAGTTTATGATATGAAAGGTTTTTTGCTGCTTCAAATGCCCAACATCCTGCATTACCATGTTGAAATGGACCATGGCCATAACATTGTATACCATGGTATATGGCCATGAAATGCACTGAAATACCATGGTAATACCATTGCTGATCATGATCGTTAAATGGCACCATTGCATTTAATGGTTAACAGCGCATTTTTAACATGGAGTTTTCCATTGAAAAAATACTGCCGTTTCGCAGTATTTCATGGTCAGAAACCATCAAATGCAATGATATCATGGTCAAGTTCTCGACCATGATATCATTGCATTTCATGGTTTCTTGACCATGATATCATTGCATTTGATGGTTTCTGACCATGAAATACTGCGAAACGGCAGTATTTTTTCAATGGGAAACTCCATGTTAAAAAAACGCTCCTGACCATGAAATGCAATGGTGCCATTTAACGATCTTGATATACCATGGTATACCATGGTCAATTAACATGTAATTTTGTATCTGAAAAATACCACCGTTTCACAGTATTTCATGGTCAAATACCATCAAATGCAGTGATATCATGGTCTAGACATTCAACCATGATATGCAATGGAGCCATCCAATTATCATGATCTACCATGGTACACCATGGTCATTATACTTAAAGTTTTGCATTTAAAAATACTGCTATTTTGCAGTATTTCATGGTTGCAAACCATCAAATGCCATGAAGTACAGTCAAAATGTTTAATCGAAGACTGGAGGTTGGACTTACAAAGTATTGAGTTGATCTCCTATTTTACTGACAACAGTCAAAAAAAAGTAAAGCATATCTGTTTAACAAAAAAATTTGTTTCTAGGGTTATTAACTTAATTATTCATAATAGAAATTAATTTATTAAATAAAGGAACAAAAGTATATAAAGTTGTGATTTTGATGAATATCAGAATCACTAATTATAATAATTTGGTTATCTAATTAACATTTATTAATAAAGATATTTAATGTAAAAAATACTTTTTGAACATGGTCTTCCATTGTATTTCACTGCATTGCAAGAAAGACCATTGCATTTCATTGCATATCATGGTGAAACATGGTATTTCATTGTATTTCATGATCCATTTCAACTCCGACCAATTTTAGACTTCGACACTCTTCTAGAGTTCTTTTGGCAATGAAATACCATGGTATAACCATGGTATTTGATGGTCAGGTTTGACAATGAAATGCTATGAAATACAATCAACCACGAAATGCAATGATATGCCATGATAAATGATAGTTATGATTATGGCAATGAAATACCATGGTATGACCATAGTATTTGATGGTCAGGTTTGACAATAAAATGCCATGAAATACCACCAACCATGAAATGCAATGATAAAACCATGATAAATGAGAGTTATGATTTTGGCAATGAAATGACATGGTATGACCATGGTAATTGATTGTCACGCGGTACAATGAAATGCCATGAAATGTCATCAACCATGGTATACCATGGTAATACCATGGTAAATGATGGTCAGGTACATAACAATAAAATATCATGGTATGACCATGGCATTTGATTGTCACATCGTACAATGAAATACCATCAACCATGATATACAATGGTAATACCATGGTAAATGATGGTCAGGAACATGGCAATGAAATACCATGGTATTTGATTGTCACATCTTACAATGAAATGCCATGAAATGCAATCAACCATGATATACAATGGTAATACCATGGTAAATGATGGTTAACTTTGAACATGAAATACTGTACCATGAAACTTGGTATAACATGATATACCATGGTATACCATGATAAAAAATTGACCAAAAAACATCATTGCCACCATGGTCAGAGTTGAGGGTAATTTCATTGCCGATCATGATAGAGTGATAGACCATGGTAAACCATGGTATACCATGGTATCATGGTTTACGTTTAAACATGGTAGTTCCAAGACAGGCACCTGCAGAGCAATGGACATAAAATGTGTTGTGTTTTGTGGATGTAGTAAAGGCACAAAGTGTAGAAATCCGCATAAATAAATAAACTACACATAACATGAAAACTAGTGATAACTAGTTGTAGATACTAGTACTCATTAAAGAATGAACACAAGGAGCACATGTGTCTCAAACTCACAACCTCGTGGTTTATAATTAAACTCAATCGATATTCAATACTCATAATATATCAGCATTCCTTGTAGATACTAGATATGGTACTCATAAAAGAATGAACATACGGAGCACACGTGACTCAAACTCGCAACCTCGTGGTTTATAATTAAACTCAATCGATATTCAATACTCATAATACATCAGCATTCCTTGTAGATACTAGATATGGTACTCATAAAAGAATGAACATACGGAGCACATGTGTCTCAAACTCGCAACCTCGTGGTTTAGGGTACCCATTCACCTAAGACCTCTTGGCCAACTCAACAACCAAAGAAGTTTGTTTCCTTCGCTGATCTGACTAGATAGAGGCTGCGGATTCAGTCTTAAATGATGCAGGATAGATGAAAACTGTTGTGCGTAACATGCTAAAATCAGTTTCTGGCAAATATCTTGAGAACCATTGACTTTTTTAAATACATATGTATTATTGACCCCCTATAATGTGGCCATTCCGGACATTTTGAGTGGTTACACAATCTTCTATGTCCAACGGTTCCGGAGATGCAAAAATGGGGGGGGGAGTATTTGCGTAAAAAAGGGCGTGGCCATTTGACCTATTTCGCCTTCTGTGGCAAATATGTTACCAAGCCAAAATTGATCAATGACCTTCACATAGATGATTTCTGAAGAGAAAATCTCTGGACATAGAAGTGCATACTCAACCAGCATGAGCTACTAGAGTATGTATATGAAAATAATATTCATATCTTCTAATTTGTATTAGAATTCTAATTAGCAGCAATTTAATATTTATCGCATCTCTTTGTTTTGCAAATAGCAAGAAACTGACAGACAATCAAAATCTCTCGTGATGTATTAGAAGGGATTCAATAGAATTTAAGAACAGTCCTCAATATAAGAAGATCAGTACATTCTGTCTAGGGACAGTCCAGGCTGTTGATCCTATGTAAGTGAGATTTTGGTCAAAACAACAGGAGTAACTGTCTCCTGCAAATTCAATATTGTTTATATAAGAGTTTGTTCTAATATCAGTAATTCAGGGAGGATTAAGCAATGGAAGGTTATGTCAATGCAGTATACGACAAAGTATGATCCAAATTTGAAGATGAACATGAATATTTCAGTCTAATCATTTCTCAAGGCATCTCAACGTCACGATGGCCAGCTATAAATAGAACATAGAAATAATTTCAGAAGTCTTAATCATTTCATCAAGATACACTTTGGCATCTCCTTCCTCTTCAAGTCAGACTTTGCAGAATGTAATTAATCTAGAGTAGCTGAATAGATGTAACATGTGACCAGGAAGTAAAGAATCTGCATGGATATGTTAGTACCACTTGACCTAGAGATAGAAGGATTTCCATCAACATTGCATATCATAGAGTTCTATTTCGATAAATCATCTTCAAACAAGAGCTTGGTTTCTTCAAAAGCTTTATCTATTCATACTATGCAATGAAATCAGCCTTGGAAAGCCAGATAATCCATCCTGATTGCCAGACCATCTTATAGCTATGCAAGACTTGAGATGGTATGAGTGAGATTGTTAATCATGTAGTAGATTATTCTGTTTTCCTTTGGACATTTCTAAATCATTTGGGTAAATAAAAACTCTGCGCCTATTTGAGAAAACCCCATGGTAGAATATTTTTACTAAATGCCACTTCAGTTTGGACATACTGTTACTAAACTTGAGTGCAATTGTTATGCTAACCTGCAGTAGCATGCCTTCATCTATGGTTAAACTTGAAACCAGATTTAAACCTCAATGTGGATAGAGATACAAATGATACAGCACATATAGCTAACCATACGAGATGACATTATTGAATTGTATTCAAATTTGGTAGCCTGTTCTAGTTCTCAAGTTAACTGAAATCTTATTTATCAATTGATCAATGAACAATTGTATATAGACAATTTATTGATTTTTTATGACACTTATTATATAATACCCATCATTTTAATCTGTCGTAAAACATCATATTGCCGCCAGATAACTATTATGGCCCCCTCTGAGAACAATTGAGAGTAAATTGTCATCAATTGCTTTGTCTCCCAAACTCATTCATATAATGCTTTGGCAGTTTTTTTAGACCAATTCAAATAAACCAGTTGCCAATTTCTGAATATTACATAAAACAGTCATCCAGACAGCATCAGATTCAAAGTGTTACGGTCTTACTGTATCTAATTTATTCAACCCCATATGTAACATCCTTACATCCCTAGTTTGGTATTTCATCAAATATCTGGGTTTTACCAAGCAGGCTGTCTCCCAATATTTCAACTGAGATTATGATGGTGCTTAACTTAAAGGGGCTTCAGGTTAAACTCACACACATGATGAAGTTGCGAGTGTTCATTCTCACTTGAACCTGAATCTCAAGAGTAATGGAAATGGGTTCTGGTAGTTATAGTAACCATATCCAGGGGTTATATCTCTAGCATTTTTCTCAATTACTTTCACAAGTTTATGAAAATATTCAACTCACCTTTTGTAAGCTTGATGGATTAAGCTGTGTCTTGTCTATAATTTTGATTGCAACCTGAAAAGAGATAATAAAATACTATTAGAAATAAGATAAATCATATGTAGTATATTAAAGGAGAGTGAAACATATCAAGTAGAACACCTCTGTCGGTGAAACACTTCAGAGTCCTAAGACCAACTGAGCAATGTTTTAAATGAACCTCTATTAGTGGAACACCTCCTAAGTGGAACATATGTTAAAGGTACCAAAGGTGTTCAACTTAGACAGGTTTTCTTCTTTGTAGCAAACCTTTCAATTTGAACATGTCTAGGATAAACAGCTCTGAGAGCAAAATTTAGTATTCAAAACAGTCCAAATTTGGCCAAATTAGATGTCTTATACCAGATGCTAGTACACAGATGAAGTTCTCTTTTAAAGAACTGAAATCAAATTACTGCAATAAATGGGTAAGTAAGGCATGTTTCATTCATGTTTCACTCTAATATACTGTACTTGCTACTCCTCAGGTTCATATCTTATCAAGCCAGAAATTGATACTAAAGGCAGGACCAGTGAGTGTATAAGTTCAGTTGAGTTGGCATTTACACTGAAGCCAGGGTAAAATAATATAAACACATGAACACCAGATCTCAGCACAGTAGAACCAGTCCACAAGTGAGTTGTATGAAAACAAACACATCTATAACATAGGTAGGACCCAAGAGAGTATGACCCTTCCCTATAGCAATCATACACTCTAATACAAGTGAGTTGTATGAAAACAAACACATCTATAACATAGGTAGGACCCAAGAGAGTATGACCCTTCCCTATAGCAATCATACACTCTAATACAAGTGAGTTGTATGAAAACAAACACATCTATGACAGTATGATCCCTCCCTATAACCACCATAAAATGAGCTTTTGATACCAAGAGATACCAATAATAGAGCAGTGTAGCATTCATATGGTGAATGCCCCATGTCAAGTTAGAACAGGCAAAAAACATGTTATTTACTATGAAAACATACATAGGTGAATTCCTTAAAAACAGCAAAATGATTTGCTTCACATATGATCAAATTCATCACAAACAGTGCCTTGAAATGACAATTTTTGGTATAAAGGGGTACTTGTACAATGCCAATGCATATATTTCCATATCAACCATATGTAGGGTGTTTTATTTTTGTAAGTTTATCATTTGTCTAGGTCTAAATGATTGACGTGCCTTTGGAAGAACATCGGTCTCAAACATGATGAAAAAGACATTTTCAGACAAATTACTACCTGGTAGGGAATATGCATCAGAAACTGCAGTTACCAGGGAGAAAGGGGGGGGGGGGGAGGCATCTGGGTAAATTACAAACTTGATCAGAAAAACTCCCCAAAAATAAAGTATCCTAGGCTACTCTTAGCTTCAGAACATTAAGATAGACAAGCGTATTGCCAAAAATGACTTTTACGAACGTTCATATGTAGGAATCATTGATTAGGACTACTGGCTAGAAGGTAAAAGGTTGAATATACACAAAGTTTTGTGCACCTAGCAGTTAACTGAATGTTCTTACAAAAATACTGAAACAGCAGAGTTCCTAATCTTACAAATGACCTCAGCATACTATACCAAAGTGAGTATAATCTATAAAGAGAACACCCACATATATTCCAAGAAAAACTTCAACACATACACCAATATACTTATATTGTTGTATGAACCAAGTACATCTCAACATCATATACCACACTTTCACAGAGTATAGTATATTATAACATATTCATTCACAATTTATTCTTAACAGCTTGACCTCAGATGTGTCTCAGTTAGGAAGAACCTGTTACAATTCATCATATAGCTTTTTCAAAATCTTTACCAACAGGCAAAATATAAAATTTAAAAAAAAGCTGGCTACATGATTTATACTTTTCCACAGGGTGCTTAGCTATTTTAAGGGTTAAACATGAATGGATTCTGTAGTTGAATTCAAAGGCTAGTACAGATATGTTTTTTTGCTAAAATAAGCGATCAATAGACCACAGTGCAATTTTCATACAGAAAAATACAGACAATTCAGAGAACTCATTTTATCAAATTTTGGATACTTGATATAATGTGCAATGAAGTAAGAATTTCACTCATGCTTGTTAGAGTAAGCCACACATGTTGTTGACCTGTACCGGCGATTACTAGAGTGCTGCTAACTCGATAAAAGGCTGGCGCTGGCTAGAATTGTCTATGGTTCTAGCCAGGATAAAGATACCAGTTCTTCAACTCGACAATGGGAAGAACTGCTCTACCTTAGTGACTAATATGTCATTGATATGACATCTAAAGAGTCAATAAAAGATATATATATATGTTAGTTAATCCAAAAACAATCCAAAATATACAAATGCAATCAAGTCTATAATAACACATGTTGGTATTTTTCAATATTACAAAGTTGCACTGTGGTTCACAGATGGCTCACATTAGCAAGAACATTAGAACAAATCCTTGCTACCTTTGTGTCTCAACTGGTGTTATGTTCAAACATTCACGCTAAAGATTAGAAGCTATGATTCTATCCGTTTCTTTACTTTTCATATTATCAGCTCTATCATGTGAAATCTGACCTTATAGTTGCTGAATATGTACATTACTCTTACAAGTGTGTGTGCAGATTGTCAAACTTCAAGTTTTTCCAAACATTGAGAAGTATGTTTGTATTTGTGTTTATAAAATCCTGAGTTAGAACTTGATAAAATTAAATGTGTTGAATCTTGTACCATTTTAATGGTAAGAATGAAAACATGGTTATTACAATGCAACCTATAGGTGAAATTAGGGTAAGGGTTGGTTACATTACTGAGACAAACAAACTGAACAAATAAGGGATTACTGTAGATGGGATATATAGAGGTTTAGCCTTGAAACCTCACAAAAAGAATCTCAAATGTGAACTCATCAAAATATATTGTCTACACGCAAATATATACCTTAATCATTTATATCAAGCATGAATATATATTATGTATAAGGGAATTATATTTTACAACCTTCTTAAAATACAAGAACAAATCAAAAATTGACCTTAAGACTAACTTGAGCCAGGACACTATAATCTCAGGTCAGGTTTATGAATAAGGTAGCATCTAGGCATTTTTACGAATAAGTGACACTTTTCAGTATTTTTTGTAACAGCACCCTTACTCTTTCAATTTAAGGTATAAAAGAAAAACAATGCTTTCTAGAAGTTGGTACCATAATGTTCTTATATGCACATCATGAAAAAATACAATATGTCGTTGCTTATTTTAAAAATCAACAAGTAATGACCCAAAATATGCTGTTTTTTGGTGTAACAAGCATTTCACTTAAATTGTGACCATGTTTACATGATCAGAGAAGGGCTAATATCATAGATAGGTTGACAATTTTAATACCAAGTGGTAGCTAAATCATTTATCTTTAATATGTTTTTTAAATTGTTTCAAATACTGTCACATTTCCCAAGTTATAACCGTTTTTATGTCATGACTACTCTGTAACACTTTTCCATTTTTTGGAGAGGTATATTATATTTTTTAACACAGAAAATCTGTAGCTGAATATTTTCCTTCATATATAATGATTTTGAATACCTAACATATTCATATATAGCTTATAAAAAGCTTTTCACTTGGAATTAATTAATTAACAATTAGCAAAAAAAAGTTCTGAATCATTTTTTAGGAGTCACAAACCATGAGGTGTCCGTAATGACATAGTTTCTACAATTTACACAGTACTTATATCTTAACTATTCTTATTTTTTAATGAAATGAACATAACTCATCAATCAAATAATAATTTAACAGTGATTGATCTTTTACTTTCTGATACAGAAGCAGATATGGTGTCAGAAATGTAGTGAGGTGTCCGTAATGCTACATATTTTCTCAATTCAAATTGTAGAAGTAGCTTACTTTATCCCCAAAATCCCTGTTGAATACTTCCTAAGTGTCTCTCTACACATGTTTATTAAATTTAAACTGGTATTGCCACTGAAAATATTTGAAATTTTTTTTACCATAAGCTACGGGGGTCTATTTTACAAACATCAGTACTGATTAAAAAGGAGGCAAAAATTAATTAAAATTGATTTTAAATTCCAAGTCTTTACTAGGCATACTGAGTCAAAACTAGATTTAGTTTTTTGAAATAAATGGAAACAAAGAAAAAGAATAAATAGTTTTTAAAAAACATTACGGACACCTCAAGCCTATTGATTTAATGTTTATAGCAAAAATAACTTATTTTTCAAAGTAGTAATTAACCTTTATAAGTGAAAAATGGAGAAAACAAAGTATGCAGAGGAGGAAAAAGATATTAGGTTAAAAATACAATTACCAACAAAAGAAAATAAGAGGAAACATGTACCAGAAAGAAAGAAAGAAAAATTTTAAAATGTTGTACTTGAAAGGCAATATATCTAATAGTGATATAGTCCAAAGGTTTAACGCATTGTACTGAAATGAGTTTATACTGAAAACACATTCTGAAACGACTCATGAAGTATCAAAAAGCATTGCATCAAAAACCATGATATGTGTAATGCATATACACACACTGTACTTTACTTGTATAGTGGAGATGATGAGTTTTAATCTTTTGTGACAACTAGACCAAAGAACAGCAAGTACCCAAAAACAGAGCAGCAAGGGTGCTTCAAGTTCATTTTGGTTTAATATATGAAAAGCATAATTCTTTTTCAATTTTATATATTTATTTTAAATTGTTTGTGTCATTTGATGTGCTACACCTTAAAGTTTGTCGTGTAGTCAATTTTTTACCTTGCCTTGTTCTTTCCTTAAGCTTATGTTCATTGATTTGAATTGCCTGGCTTGGCGGGATATGTGTCTTGGAGAAAGACTACTTTGTAGGACAAAACTAAAACAGTAATATGGTTCCAATAGAACAATATTACCATATAACATTCTAGTCAAAACATACCAAATTGCAACACAAACAAGGGTATAGTAATCAGAGGTAAACTGATATATCCACGATAAATATGAGATAAAATGACTTTAATTAATTAAATAATTAA